CCTAACAATAAACCTAATCGCCCAAGCCTCAATCTTATGAATTTAATAAACTAGTGAATACGTCAATCCATGCCGAAATGTCCCGAGATGCTCCTATCCACGTATTCTGTCTACATGTATTTTCGCGGAATTCGACTGTTTTCCTCTACGTCTGCTTTTACCCCAATTTCCATTTCGAAAGCCGCAGACAAATTCGTAGATTTTGGTGGTAGGGCGGGTCGACCACTTCCAAACCCCCCCCCCCCCTCAAATTCCCCCCAGGAATATGGCGCGGACGGCACTAAAAACAAAATCTTAAGGGCTTTTTTTGCTAGAATTTTCTAATAGGGCAGTTTTCTATTCCTCATAGCGTATATTAAAACGTATTATGAAAAAGAAACTAAATTTAAGTTGTGAGCTATTCAATGTTTCATAAAAATTATGGTTTGTGGATCTGAAAAAGTGGCTATTACGATCAAAGAAGTAGCAAATGTTCTCCAGAAATACAGAATTCTGTAAGAAGATTCTGTATTTTTGTAAGAAATTGGATGTCATTTTTTGTTATCGAAAATCGCTAGAAATATGCAAAGTGAAGAATATCATGCGATCAGACGGGGCCAGGGTTGAAAGCGGCTTTTCAACCCTGGTTACTTACTAAATTCTTATTTACTATGCATAAATTTATGCTGGTTCCCATTTTTAATGTCCAGTTTTTCCAATGTTTCAAGAAAATCGGTTTTCTCGGGAGAAAAATGTATCGCAGTATTTTTGCGAGCGTTTTCTAATAGCTGATATATTTCTTGCTAAACCCCTTATTGCCTACTTTAAACGTATTATCCAAAAAGTCAACCTTACGTTTCAGCTTTTCAGTGTCTCATGAAAATTATGTGTCATTCTGAATCTGGAAAATCCATTATCAGCATGAGCTGTATTAAAAGAGTTGCCTTAAATAGTCCGTTGAGATTCATGATTTATTTATTTTTACTCGCATTTCCCATTTTTTTTTCTTAAGAATTTTAGCTTAGTATTGATGAGATGTTTCAAAACTATTGGTATCCCACTGAAAAAATTTATGAGCATTTTCAGTTCGCCTATGTTCGCAAAAATTCGTTTTGTTTTTGTTTGGCTGAATAACGGCTTCGAAATTGCCAAAATTAGAAAACAAGAAGTATCTGAAATTTAAGTAAGAAATATCCCGCTTAAATTTTAATTTTTATATACATTTCATTCATTTATTCACAAAATCCATTCAATATTTCCTTGTCCATTTTGTACATTCAGGAAAATCGTATTTATTTTCAAATTAAGCTGTAAACAACGGATTGAAAAATAAAAAGCCACAGTATGATAATTTTGCAGGCTATTTCGGTCGGAACGCATTAATGGCTTCGCGGAATTCGGGGGCACTGCTTCGGGCCGTGTCATAGATCTGGGGCCGGTGCCAATTCCACACCTACTACCCGAAGATTGCCATTTAGATTACGGGTTCGCCGTCCATTCTGGTCTCTCTCTCTCCCTCTCTCCCTCGCTCTCTCTCCCTCTCTCGCTCTCTCTCTCTCTCTCTCTCTCTCTCTCTCATTCTCTCGCCGTATTTTGTTAAATGGGTTCCCCGCCCTGCTGCAGCACACAACACACAATTTGATCTAAGAACCGCAAAAACAAGTTGGGCCTTTACGGAAATTCCAAAGTGCATTTTCAAAATATTGTTGAATTCCTAAAAAAAAATCCAAAATGATGATAAATGATTTTTAGTAAATATCTTTGGCCGAAGTATTTTCTGAGGTTTCTTTGTATTTTTTTGAGCAATATGTGTTTCAAAAGATTTTGTGAATGCGTGAACCCGGGTTTTAGCAATTCTATGACAGTCGTACGCTTCGATTGCTTCGATTTTACACCTTGCCAGATTTTATGTACTAACTTATATTTCCATCTGATTACGCATTTCTTAGGTCAGCTCAAAAGTGCCACCATTTCAACGATCTACTATATACAGGGTGTCCCATAAAAAAGCACCCCTCCGGCATTTTGCCATATTACATCCGATCGGTCCCAAAATTGGACCAGGGGTGTATTAAATCCTAAATAACCACAATCCTGACTTACAGCCCGCCAGCTACAGTAATTTTCGAGATACAACGAAAATAAACCTTATTATTTGTTTTTCATAAGGTTTCCGTCGGATTGGACCCTTCGATTATTAAGTGAAAATGAAACGGCAAGCCTTCTTTACCCCAAGAAATTTTTTTCCTGATAAAAATTAATCAAATAAACGTTGATTTCAACAATTTTTGTAACCCAAAGTCACCCCCGATATTAAGCGAAATTAGGGATTCGTAGCCGGAAGTCAATCCAAATCGATGCAAAGTCCAAAAAGATAGCCGAAAAAACTGATAGGAATTGCTTAAAAAATAGTATTTTGGCGATAACTCGAAAACTACTGTAGCGATAGGGCTTAGACTTCGGATTGTGGTTATTTAGGGTCTGATACACCCTTTGAAAAGTATGGGACCTATCGGATGTAATACGGCGAAATGCCGGAGGGGTGCTTTTTTTTGGGACACCCTGTATAAATTTCTACTGTCCGTGCGCACGACCGGGAATTCAGTCAAATTTTGCATTCAAATTCCAAATTCAAACTGCGGGGGGGGGAGGGCCAGCGCTGAACCGCCGCGTAGCGGGGGGTCAGCGCTGGTTGAATTATATTTTTAGTTTTTTTGACGAATATGTGTTTCAAAAAATTTTGTAGATGCAGGTGCCCCGGTGGTGGTAATTCGACGCCTATCGGACCTGCGGGTGCCAAAAGATATTCTACCAATTAATATTTCCCGATTTTTTCAGTCCTAACAGCCCAACAGGAAATTTTGAATAATGTTTTAGCGAAATCTAGCTATATTTCAGCTGGCAGCCGCAACTAAAAACGTTTCAAAACCCGACCTGTTATCGAAAATCGGTAATTTTTGTCGTAAAAATGACACATCTTTCGTATTTTGAATCAAAGTTTGTAAAGTTTCCTAAGTTTAGGAATAGTAAAAAATAGTTTGGCAAGACTTCCAGTTGGAAATTGGATTTGAAGGAAAAGTTCGGCCCCCCCCCGATAATGCAAAAGCGCCCAAAAGGCACGACAGTCCGGCAGGCAAGGTAACGTCTACCAACTAACGTATTTCTTTTTCTGTTTTGCGCCCAAATTTTCTTTTTGAGTTCTTTTTTTCGGTTATTATTTTGCAAATAGAAATTATCCATTTGATTGCGGTTGTCAAAATTTTCTTGTGAAAATGTTTCAAAAATTATCCGGGTATGGAAAAATGTTTGCCCAATAATTTACCCGTTGTACCATTCTTCACTTGTGGCCTGCACGTTTAAAACTTGACATTCACGTTCGGTGAGCGTGCCGTTGTTTCATACGAAATTCTATCCACCGGCTGGCCGGGGGTCGCTTCGTGTAATCGAGTTCATTATGCAAATTAGGCGATGTGCCAGCCGGGGCGGCGATCGGAATACCAAACAACCCCATCCGTCGCGGGCAATTTGTCATTGGTGAAGTGTTTAATGGACTTGTGAGTACTTTTAGGCAACATTTCATCCCAGTAATTTTTCTATCGTTTATTTTTATGGATTTAACGGTATTGGAGCGTTATCGGGGGGCATTGCCAAGTCATCCCGTACGAAAATTAAACCGTCTGCATAGTAGCAACCGGATTTACAGTTTTTTAGATTCAAATTCAAATTGAAATTTCCAAATAAATAAAAATGTTTTTGATAATTTCCAACACCAAACCAAAACAACCAAAAACTACTTGCCGCTGTAAAATACACGACGCAAGATTAACGGTTATAGGCGGAATAAAAATATTACCTTCCCCCGTTAACAACCCAATACCGATTTAACGAATCAACTGGATAAAAACAAACCTCTAGGAAATAGTACAATGTTGCATTTCCACGTGAAACTCAAACCAAATGTTCCAACGTTTTTGGAGTCTGGAGTCGAAATTCATTCGTTAGTCCGTCTTCGCTTTCTGTTGGCTGTTCCACGACTTTTTCCAGTTTTTCATTGATTTAAGTATTTACGCTCTCTCTCTCTCTCGCTCTCTCTCTCACTCTCACTCTCTCTCTCTCGCTCTCTATCTATCGCTCGAATACGAATTTTTCCTGAATCCAAATTCAAGAAAAAATGTTCAGCGCAGTTCACGAGATGTCGCCGGAAATTGAGCAGTTTAAACCGAGAATTGGCATTTTGTATAGAAACTTAATGTTTCGAAAATCTTCCTTTTTTAGTATTTTAAAAACGATAATTAATAAATTTTTCTGAGTTAATTGTCAAAAATCGTCCTTTTTTCCTAATTTTTTCAATAAAAAACATTTTTCCAAAAAGTAAATGTTTCGAAAGTCAGCCCATGTTGGAAATGCTTGCAGTTTTCTAATCGCTCTATGTATTAGATTAGTTTGCCTATCCAAAAATAATTTTTAATGATTGCAAAAATCGCGGTTTTTCTACAAGAAAAGTGAGGCGAACCAATGAACCACGAATTGTTCATCTCCTTTGTTCACTGTTGATCTACAGGTGTGTAAAGCATACCAAAATACTCGCCAGAACAAGGCGAACATTTTGGTATACTTTCCTCACCTGTAGACCAACAGTGGGCCGAGGTACAAAAGTGGGGCGCCGGCTGGGTGGGGGGGAAAACCATTGCAGGCTAACCTCAGATTCTTTTAAGAATTGAATGTTTCACATAGACTGCACAAATAAGAATTTTACAAGCTAAGTAATTTCTCCATGTAAGCGCTTTTATCTAAAATCAAATCTAAAAAAATTCTATTATTCAATGAAATGTTTCAAAGTTCTCTGACTATAATTTTTTTAATATGTCCTCAGTCGGTCTTTTTACTCTTTTTGCGTGAATCTTCCAATTTTTATGTTACATCCGAATTAAACTTTTTATTTCCTCAAATTTCCAATTTTTATGTTACATCTAAGTACACTTTTTTACGTTATTAACTTCAGCTCGTTTCTTTTACAGTAGATGGCCCGCAATGACAGGGTGGTCAGCCCGATTTACAAGCCGGATGAGGTGCGGGTTTACAAGGTAAAAAATTTTGTAGTTGTCTTTAATTTTAGAAAGATTTTCAGAAAATTTAAGAATATTTTTTAGTTAATCGAGTGCATTTCCTTCATATTCCTCAGCTTCTACGTCGGGTTGTATGTGAAATTGCTGTGTAGGAGAAAGGTGGGATTACGTATTAACGTATTAACGATACCTTTAAAAGGGGCGGGGCCAACTAGCAGATGGCACACTTTACAGGGATTGGCAAGGCATAGATATAAATATATGAGATGATATTTTAGATGCGAAGAAATTCGTGGATCTGGAAAAATTCTAGGTAAATAGATCATCTATGGCAGAAATCTAGATTTCACGCTCCCTTTAGTTATTATTTATTATTCTATTTTTTACCTACTTGTTTAATTATGAAAAAGCTAAGTGTCCAGCTCCCTTTAATGGGGCGGAGCTAGGTGGAAAAAGGCTTCAACGGGGCTGTTACACTCCTTTTAATGCGCATTGCTAATTGTCTAGCCTGAACAGAAAAGTTCCACAAGAATCTCACCTGCACAAAAAAGCTAATTTTAAGAGATTTTCACTAAAAAATTTTTCAAATAAAGTTGTGGGGTCGGTAAAAGAAGGCATTGTTATACTAGTCAGCTTAATGATTCTCTAATTTTGATGAAACTCATGTTTTTATAGCTAAAGTCGAGATATTAGGACAATTTCCCAGTGTTCCCACCCGAATTTGCGGATATTACCTCCGGGTATTTGCGAAATCGGATTATTGCCATCCAGTACTCAATAAAGGAGTAGTTTTTATGAAACATCCTATTTTTTTCAAAAAACTTTTTTTTCCAGTTTTGCCACGTGAATTTACTGGTGCTACTATGCGCGCAGCCAATCGCCCATCTGCTGTCGATGTCAATGCGTATCATCAAGCACGGATGCGTCGAGTGGGGTAAGATTCTAATTGCGGGGTGTGGGTATGAATAATACGGGTTACGGTATTAATCTGCGGGATCTCTACAGAAACGCTTTTTTTATCCAAAACTTACGACGGCGCTGATTCTAATTTTCCAATTTTAACTGCAAAAAAGTTTGTTTCATCACTTGGCAAAAATAAAATATTCGGTGGTAGGGTTAATTTGAACACGTTGCAATATTGCAAAATCAATTTTGCAGAAAACGTTAAATACTAGCAAAACTTCGTGCCCTTAATTGCCATGCTTCTGCACCGATCAAAAAACGAACCCCCGCGCGCGGTTGATTAAATTAGATTCAGTAAAAACAAAATTTCAACGGATGCTGTTTTCATTTGCTAATTACGATCAAGGTATTTTTATTTTACGCCAATTGAGAACGATCCGCAATTTCGCCTTTTCAAAGCAAATTGAAAAGCAATTTACTGACGTTGATAGATTTAAATTTCTATGGTACTTTTTAGAATTGTCATTTTCAGGGCTGATCACTACCACCACCGGCGCTACGCTGCTGTTTTGGGACAATTTGCTGTCTGATGTCTGTAAGTTCAATTTTTGGCTCTCTCTCCCTCTCTCTCTCTCTCTCTCTCTCTCTCTCGCTCCTTCTCTCTTTCTCTCTCTCTCTCTCGCTCTCCCACTCTCGCTCTTTCACGCTCTTTCTGGCATCCAATACTTGCGTAGAAATGGAATTTTCCGTGGAAAAGCATGAAAGCATGCCGATAATACCCCGCCGTAATATGGTAAATTGGCGGAAAATGCGTTGCAGAAAGAGAGTAGCAGCTGTTTTGTCGAAATTCAATTTCTTGCCGCTTCTAGCTGGGGCAATTTGTTGTTGATCGCGCGGAGCGGGGGGACTTTTGGTATTCAATAGATCAGGGGTGGGATCAAATTTAGTTTTCAACCCTGGCCCCGTCTGGCTCCATCTTATCCTTTAATTTGCATAATTGCTCTGAATTCCCCATGACAAAAGAAATGAAAAACAACCTCTCCCTGCCCGTTTATATAGCCGAATCACCACTTCCGGTCTATGCTAATTATTTCCTAACAAAGAAGCTTTCACAAAAACTTAAATTTAATGTCGAAAATAGCTGAGTTTGTAAAATCTGATTAGCGCGCAGTCATCTCCAGGCCATTACGCACCTAATGACGTATCATACGTACTTTAAAATTCATCCCCTATCGGGAAATCTTCCGGACAGACAGACGGAAGTGGATGCAAAGTGGCACACACACACACACACACAAACACACACACAAACACTATTTTTTATATATAGTAGAATCTTTTGAAAATATTGGATACTAATAATGTTATCAACCATAATAAAAGGATCAGACAGATACTGTTACTGGTAAAAACAGGTGGACGTTTGGGACTTCTAAAAAGGAAAATAAAAGTTCCGAATTTTACGAAATGAGTGTTTCAATTTTCTTCCAAGACTTGGAAATAATAACGAACTTAATCATCCACTGCTCCCTAGTTAAAAACAAATTGAAAACTATGCCATTCCACGAAAAATTTCGTGTTTCATCTTTCTTCCCAAGCTTGGAACTAAGTTAAAATTTAATACTTGATAATATACTACCTGAAAAAATATTTCGAGGCCTTGCCTTGGGTTTCGAAAATTAGATAAGTTCAAGTATTAAAAACTAGATTTCGGGCTCTTACGGGGGTTTTCAGGCTTGGTTCAATTAAGGGTGGCCAATAAAATGTTTCGAACATTGGCAACGACCTCGTCGGGGCTATTATGCCACTTACGATTGTAATCGAGATGAGACCCAAGATAAGTGTTTTACCGAACTACAGTGATCTTGCTGCGAATTAAAATACAATAGTCCGTGAGATTGATCATAACTCCCGGCGGAATTTAATTAAGGAAATTTAATCCAGCTAAGCCATGGAGCACATTTTAGTATATTTTTGTATATTATACTTTAGCATTTTTTTATTTTATCTGTAGCGCTTCAAAGAGGACTTTCAAAAGAGACAACGTGCCCAAAAGTCGGTGGAAAAATTTTCTAAAAACAATAAGGCAAAAAAGAATTCTGTAAACTGGAAAACGTACAACGTACAACTCCCTCAACCTGCGCTTTAACTTTCAATTAACCTTTTTTTAAAACACAATAAATGTAAACAAAGGCGTGTTACAGTAGTCTCGACGAGCTTCCAAATCGTGGTCGGCATCTCGGTGGAGCGCATCATCGCCATGACGTACATCAACGAATACGAGACCAAATACAAGAAGCCCTTCCTCGCCTGGGCCATCATTCTAATTTGCGTGAGTTTCCCATTTTTTTTTTTGAAAGCCGCTTGGTGCAAAAATTAAGAACCAATGTTTCAGGTACGGTTAAAAACAACAAATGCCAAAACCATTAATGAAGTTGCGTCGCGCTCAGCGTAGTAATTGCGATGGAGTAAAATTAATCTAATTAACTAAATTTAATTGTATACTTCTGGCTTAAGGTTAATCGTTTTTGCCTTTATCAAGTGTTTCTTGACGCACCTTCGCTGCTGATCATTTTTGAAAAATCAACTTTCAAAATGATGTTTCTAAAAATAAGGGATGTACCAAAAATTTGGACAGGAGAATTGGTCTTGTGAAAGGATTATTTCAAAATTTTGCCATCTACGCATAAAATTGACAAAAGAAATAAACGAAAATTGACAAAATTGTGAAAAAATCACGTTTCACCAAAGAGCAATGTTCGGGTCAACGATCATTTCTCAATTCCGCTACGTTGGTTTCCTAAATTTGTTTCCCAGGGCTCCAGTAGCGCAAAACGCATTAGTCAGTATTTTCGTGGTTTTTGTTGAAATCTAGCTATATTTCAAGAGGTAAACTATGAAAAATCTCTCAAAAAATTTTAAAATTCGAAATTTTGGTAAATAATCGGTTATTTTAGTAGAAAATCCATAATTTTGTATTTCATTTATAAAAATTTATAAGATTTTTACGTTTAAAAATAGCAAAAACCGTTTAGAAACACTTCCGCTAAGACTTTAGAAAAATTCTATACTAAAGACTCCCCCCACTAACGCAAAAGCACCGAGATTTTCTATCTAAAATGGTGATTTGTATGCTTATTTTATTATTACAACTTACAAATTTTACCTTAATTTTATAGCATTTATCCATTTCAGTTCACCTGGTCGTCCGGGTTACTGTACCTGTGGAATTTGGATATTGTCACCAATGGCATGGCCTATCCCCTACAGTACGCATTTTTCGGATCCGCCGCGTTGGTGAGAATTTTTATGTTTTAATGGATTACTATGTTTACGGCGTATTTTAAAAAATCAAATTATCAAAACTGTATTTTAATTTTTCTATTTTTCTAAGATTAGATAGTCAACAACAAAAATTTGGATTTTTAGAAATTTATGAAACACATTTTTTCAATTTTCTTAATTGGATTTTGTGCATTTTTATAGCTTATTTTATATGTTTATTGTATTGTAACCTAATTTTTCTAAATCTCGTTAACATTTATGGACTTCATCGTGTTAGTTATTGTAAAAAGTTAAATTATTAAAGTTGTTTTTGCTTTTTGTTCTACAACAACCACATCAAATCGTCAATAGCAAAACCCGGGTTTTAATAATTTATATAACACATTCTTTTAAAATTGTGGTTAGGTTTTATTGATCTTCAGCCGCCAGTTTTATATTTTTAATGAAACGTAATTCTTCTAAATTTTTGAGCATTAAAGGGCTTCATCGTGCTACGGATCGTCAGCTGGTACGCCTATAAGCGGGTGGCCGATCAGCGGTACTCCAGCATCGAAGATCGGTTGGTGGTTTTTAGGAGGAAATGTTTCATCAACTACGGTAAAGCTGAAAAAAGCGGGCGCTGCTTTACAAAAGAATCTGGTATATCAGCGCTCGCTTTTAATGGTTTTTAGTTATTTTAATTGTTAGCATTTAATATTAATGCTAGTATCTGTGAACTGTGAATTTTAATAAATTAAAGGGACGGGCAAAGCATTGTTGTTTTCCTTACTTTTTTTCTGGGTTTTTAAAGCGCACCTGTGATACTCAACACCCACGTCCTATTACATGGCGTAATTGGTTACGGCCTGCCGGACGCGTTGCGTGTCGCGGTCGCGGCAAATTCCGAGGAATTCAGAGCGGTTAAGGTCAATAGTCCTCCCTTGTCCGGCCCTTTAATTAAGCCCGACTTTGGTTTAAATATTTAATCTTGCTTTTGAATTCCGATTTCACGATCGTCTAGCATAATGTCGAAATCTCATCATGTCGAAATTCAGAATGTCGACATTTTTTGGAGGATTCCAGCGTTTTCCGGGAAATTCGGGATCTGAATTTCGACACTATGAAATTTTGGCATTACGCATTTTGACATCGGTATTTTCGGCATTTGGAAAGGTAGTCCGATTTAAAGGTCCTTTGGGTCGTATAACAAACCTTAAAAGTTTTAGGCAAATAAGTTTCACCCAATAGGCCCATAGAATTAAAAGTGATAGGTTTAATATTCGGATGAAGATTTAAGGTTTAATTGTTATTTATGGTTTTTGTTTAGTTTAGAACCGAACTGTTTAGGAGCCCTTTAATGACTACGGTAGTCCCATATTTTTACGATTTTTAGAGATGTTTCGAAATTGGTTACTTATCAATTGAATTTAAGCTTTAGTTAAACCTAATGTTCTTACTGAAAAACCAAGGAAAAATTCAAATGTTTCGGAAAAAATAGTAAAAAATATAGGGGCTTTTTCGGCAATCGCTTTTAATACGTTTTTCACTCAACGTTATAACGGAAAGCTTTTCTGCGAAGATCAATCGATTATTTTTAGCAGAAAAGCGTGAAAGTGCCAGCGGGTTAATTTTACAACGGTTTTTGTGGTTTTGTTGTCATTTAATTTTCACTTAACGTTAAAACGGAAAACCTAAAAAAATAGCCGCCGATAGAGAAAATTTATGTGTTTCAGAAAAAGTAAAGCAATTTGCTTAATTTTTGTCGACAATATTGAGAATTCTACTGTCGATAATATACTCATACCACAATAGAAATTAATACTACTTTTTTAATCTTAGCAGCCCTAAAACGGAAATTCTTCAAAAACGAGCGGCAAAATAAAATTTATGTGCTTCAAAAAAAATTGGAAAAACAATGTTGTTTATTGGAAGCAATAGTTTTACAGAGTATTTCACTAATAAATTTTTAGATATCTAACCGCACAAAACCTGAAAGCCGCAATCCTGCTGTGCTACCTGGCGCCGTACAAGTCGTTGTGCAACGTGCTGTCGCTGTTCGTCTACAACTGGATCTTCGAGCAGCACACCCCCGAGTATTTCCCCTACTACGGCGCCTTCTATTTTATGGGCAACCATTTGCAGGTCGGTTTTGGAGTTGAAAACGTTCCTTAAAAGTATAATTCCACTTGTCTGAGTGGAAACATGTTTCATTTAAAACTTTATTGTAATTTTTTCCAACAAACTTAATCGCTCGTCTTTCCGTGTTCGTAATCCTCAACCTTTTAATTCCCCCTAAAAGCCGAGGATTATTTATTTTTTTGCATTGATTGTTCAAATATAAATAAATTCAAATAAATATAATTTCGAAACGTTTATCTTATAGAAAAAATATTATCTTACTAAAAAATCAAAAACAATCGATTTTTCGACTAAAGATGACCGATTTGGAAAAAATGTTTTGAACATGCGAAGGAAATTTGAAGTCTGTTCGGGTTTTAGGAAAATGTTTCATTAAAAAAAACGTATTGTGGGTAAAAAATAGCATTAATGCCTCAAGCCGACCGTTCCCTTTAATTTTTCCTTATTAATTTAGCTAATTATTCTGAAAGTGTGCTTCATTCATAAAATGTCAGCATGTGTTGCCGATATAATTAATGTGTGACAGCACCTAGCCCAAAAAAGTGTAGAACTATCTTGGCTTTTTATTTACTCTAAAAATTAAGAAGCTTTAGAATTTAAAGGGACTGCCAAGATATACAGTGCTGCATCACGCACCCAAATCGAAAATCAACGCCTTGAAAAATCAGCCCTTTCCTTAGAGGCCCCTGTAAAACGTATAGCTCATTTACTCAAGCTCAATAAAATCGATGATCGATGTTTCAAAAAACCAGCGAGGTGCCGGGGGTGCGGTTTTGGTAATAGACGAGTTCGCGCTAATTGCTATCTTTTACCAAACACACTCCTAAAGCTCCATTTTTCAGCTCTACCTCCAGCTCGTCCTCACCGTCATCGGCCATCGGCAGCTCGTCGACGAGTTTTTGAAAATGATTGGTATGTATTTTTAGCATACTTTTTGTTAGTTTTATTGGTATTTCTTGAAAGAGGAATAATGGGTCTATACAACAATGTTTCGGAACTGTTGGTAGTGCGATAGCTCGGGAGGCCAGCAATACATTGCCCAAGGTGATCATTTCAACAAAACACAAAAGCCTTCGAGGTTCATTCTAAATTCGCCATTTACGGGTTTTAAAAATTAAAAAAGTAAAGCCGAACAAGGCAGGAAAGGAAAGACAACGAGAAGAACACTTTAAAATCCGAAAATTGTATATTTGAGCTGATAAGTAACGATTACATATGGCCAACACATAATAAGTCAAATGATTTTTTGGATACTTTGAATTATCTGAAACATGCTTGGGTGTATGTACTTCTCCGCCCTAGTCAACTAACTAGGGAAGTCCAAAAAAAATCCCGCAACACCGATCGGGCTGAAAATTTGTGCACTTATAGAATCGACCTAGTAAGACTTTTACGGGATTTCGCAATGTCATAAAAACAGCTACACAATGGGAACGGCAATATTAAACTTTTTAAAAAATCCGGAAATGCGAATTTTTACAGCAAAAAGGATGTACTAAACATTTCTGATATGCAAAATAAAATTCTCGGTTGCTAGTAATTATAAGAGCCACGATTTTTGTCAATTTTAATGAGAGAAAAAATTGTAGGAAATTGATTAAATGAATTGATGAATTGATTTGTAGGCTCGAGAACACCAAACAAAGGAATTGAGGCCGAATTATTTAGCACACTATTTTTTAAAACCCATGCATTTTTCCAAACATATTTTTTAACCCGAGTTCCGAATATCAGAGTTAATATGAAAAATGAAGTTCTCGGCTCCTATTAATTATAAGAAACGCTTTTTTGTCAATTTTTATGTCAAATTTTCCGAATAATTAGAGCAGACGATTCGCTGTATCGATTTTAAGATATTACAATCAAGCGAGAAGTATAGCAGCCCCGCTATATTCCAAAACCCCTGAGTTTGCACAAACATATTTTTTCAAACCCAACCCCAAATATCGGCAGCAACAGTTATAGGGCTGGAGATACGGCAAAACGAGCAGGACGTGAGGAGTGTCATCGGCGGGAGGATGATCTTTACATACGAGGAGGAAAACCAGATATATCACAAGGTGGGTACGGTAGATTTTGTGTCTGAATTGATATTTATACCTTAAAAAGGGGCTGGAGAAAAGTCAAAAATTAAAATTCTCAACGGTATATTGCCCTTGATCTAAATCGGCTATCCTCACAAGCATTTGAACATTTTTATCACATTTTTCCATCGCTTATACGAGGTTTTGCGAATTGCATGGTCTTAGCTTTATCAAAATTCCTCTATCATTAATCATTAATTATCCTCCCAATTCTTTTTAATATAAAAATTAGCTCGCTTTAGTTAACTCAATTTAATTTAATTGAACCTTTTGATTGAAGGAAGGACGGTGCCATTAAAACGGCGCAAAACTTAAAATATCCAAATTATGTTGAAGCATTTTTTCCAGACCGTGAAATATCGTTTTTCAAAAGTTTCGCAAATACCCTAAAACCTCGTGTATAGGCCCGGTACAATTTGGTTCCGTACCAATACAAATGACACCAAATAATGTGCGTAGGGTACAATTCGGCGCAAAAGCTATGTAAGCCAAAAGAGCCGGTTCTCAGAGCCTCATGCAGCAATTTCTTTCATTAAACCACTCAAATTGTTGGAAATAGCCGAAATACGAACAAATATTCCATCAAAATTGCAAAAATACCATTCGCGAGCGGCGTTATCTGCAAGAAACGGAAAAAACGAAACACACCTAATGACTGTCAAACGGAATTACGGACGCTCCGTACACATGAAAATTTTCACCCGGAACTATACACGGGGAGGACCTATACACGAGGTTTTAGGGTAGATTCAGGAAAAGTTTTTATGCTTTTACGGTAATTAAAGCGTTGAATGTTAATTATTCGATTTTTAGCAAATGCAAGACATGTGGCAATCCGTCGTTCCCGCCAAGGAGCCGCCGAAGCCACGCAACGAGAAGCGCAAACGATACGCTACCGTGGAGCCACATAAGGAAGTATGAGGAAAGCATATCTCTCGCTCCCTCTCTCTCTCAATCGCTCTCTATCTCTTTATCTATCTCACTATCTCGCTCTCTCGCTCTCAATGCCTTTTAGTTTCTCACATAAAAATATATCAAATGTTTCGTGAAAACAACCTTTCAAATGTTTTTGAAAGAGGGAAATGCGGCATCTCATCTCATCCAATGCAAAAATGTTGCTAAAAATTGTTTTATTTTTAATTATACTTGAATGAAATTCTAACCTGATTTCTTGATCTCTTATAAAGTATGATTTTATTGATCTCTATTTTTCCTCTCTCTCCCTCTCTCTCACCCTCTCTCTCTCGCTCTCTCTCTGTCTCTCTCTCTCTTTCTCTTTTATTTTCCATCTCTCTATGACCGATTATGGGTACTGTCATAGGCGCTGATTCGGATTTGTCTTTTCCGTTCTTTAAAATATTCCTGATTAAATCTCGGTTTCCCTGGTTTTTTTCCTTGAAATTATGTGTTTTAACAGCCAGTTGAAACTTTTCCATAAATACTTAATACAATCCACGTGCGGACGTCATTGTGAATCATCAACATTTACAAAATCAACATTCTCGGACGGCACGGCTTGCAGAGATTTTCTAGGAAAAACGTCGTCTAGCTGGCAAACTAGCAGCGATTCTTTAGGGAAAACGTCGTCTAGCTGGCAACCGAGCAGAGATTCTTTAGGAAAGGCAGATTCCGGAGAGGGCAATGCAGCGGGGATTATTTAGGAAAATCAACACATAAAAAAGTTTTGAGGGGTAAAAAGTACGCGGGCAAGCTATCAGAGATTTTTTAGGAAAGTCCGAGATCGAGACGGCAAACTAGCAATGACCCTTACGGAAATTCGATGCTTAGAGACAGGCTAGCAGGGATTTTTCAGGAAAAACGTCGTCTGGTTGGCAAGCTGGCAGTGATTCTTTAGGAAAGCACCTCATGGCGGGTAGGCTAGCAATGTTTCTTTAGGAAATGTTTGACTAAAATCTCGAATTTTATAATTTACGTGACTTTTTAAGACAGTTTTCCATAAAATATAGTTAAATTTTACTAAAATCCATATTAAAGTCCTTTGCTATTAGGGGAAAAAACTCGGTTTCGGAGAATTTTTTTTGAGGCAAGCTAGCAGAGATCTTTCGAGAAAACCCGGCCCCAGCTGGAATCAATTTTCTGCAAAATCTTTATTCGGTACCTCGAGCTCAGAGCCAAAGAAAAGTTGAGGAGCAGCAGATCGAGGAGGAGGAGGAGGAGTAAGCCCAACAAATACAGGATAAAAGCAAAAAAATAGACAAAAAACGACGGCGAGTGGGGGCGGAAATCGATAATTCGGCAGTATGGCTGGGTGGGCGGGCTTGCTTCGTTTTGGCGAAGTCGACTTGGCTGGCTTCGTTCTACTTGGCGTCCTTTGCTTCGGATTGTGCTTCTCCCTCTGCTGCCCCGCCCTCGGCCGGCTTCTCGTCCAACCGCAGCGTGCCCTCCTGCACCTTCTCCGCCGGCGCGAATTCGAACTGAAATAAAATATAAAAATAAATGTTGCAAAAATTTTATAAAAATTGTGCTTCGGTTGTTTTTAAAAATTATCGCTACTCTATCAAAAACCAAGCGTAAATTAGTTTTTAAATTTAAGAAAATGCCCTCAAACCCCAGTTGAGTCGGCTTTCCTATCCAGGCTAATGTTTCATCTAAGCTTTTAATTTGTGTAATAAGATATGTGATTAAGCTTGCTGAATTTTAATAAAAATTTCTTTAGAAGAAAAAATGTCAGATAATGCCATAAAAATCAAAAAAGTCATCGAGTAATTTATTGGCAAAGATTGTTTTCGAAAAACGACAATTTCGACTGGATTTGTCGCCCCTAATAGGCCGAAATTGCAGCCCGATTAAATTTAGAATACGGCTATTTAAAAGTTTTAAGGTCTAGATTTTTAAATATTGAATGGCTAAACTCCAGATAACCTCCCCCCAGCCGACCCCCACCTACCGTATCTCGGCTCGCTGTTTATCTACAGGTGTGTAAAGTATACCAAAATACTCGCCACAGCAAGACGAACATTTTGGTATCCCTTACACATCTGTAGATGAACAGGGAGCCGAGATACAAAAGTTGGGTGCCGGCTGGAGGGGGGGTTATCTAGAGTCTTACCTATTAAATATTGAATTTAGACGCCTAGAGAGGATCTCATTAAAACTAATTTTTTGCAACGCAAAGTACAATTTGGTTGAAACACTTGCATTATCGACGACGGCCGCATCCTGGCCCTTGCCTTTTTTGCCCTTCTTCTTCTTCGACTGCTTGTTCGCCAGCTCCATATCCTTGGCCGCTACAAAAATAAATCAAAACAATAAAGATAGGGCTAGATTTTCATAGTTTCTTTCGGTTCTTTTGCATTAACGGGGGGAAGGATCACGAAAAACTCGATTTTTTTTAAAAGGTCTTTTATATGTCAGGTTAAAAGAGATGATTAGTAGCGTAATTATAAGTATTTTAATAGTATTTGTAGTAAAATAAAACTAGATTTGATCTATTAAAATTTTTACGGTCCAAAAACTTTCAAAAACATTTTGAAAAGGTCGGATTTTTTCGTCGAAAATCAATATTGTTGATTTTTTCAATAACATTTGTAGTTTTAGCGTCTAGAAAGAGTAAAACCGTTTAAAAACACATCCACTATTTATATTTGTAAAATTAAACCCTAACAAAAAATTCCGTCCGTCCCCCCCCCCCGATAATGTGAAAGTACCTTAAATCAATGAAAAAACACAGACATATAATTCGATTTTTACGGTCCATATCGAACAAAGATTAACCCCTCGAAAAGGCACCGGAAAAAAATAAAATTTTGAAACATCAAAATTTCATAAATTTTCCAATTCAAAATTTAAGTTTAATCCGCGACTACGCGATGCTCCAAAGAACTTACATGGCGGGGAAGAGACGGGCCGTTCCACGTAGTACACGGTCGTCATCAGCATGGCCAGCAGCACGGTGAACACGGCGAACGGGATGGCGAATGTGAGGCCCGGGTGCAGGCCTTTGAACGTCTTCAACCCGAGCACAATCTGTAAACAACGACGTAGTTACACTTTTGAGCGCTAAAAAGCTGTTTTTAGCAAAATGTAACTTTGACTTTTTTGGTCATTTTTGATACATTTTTCAGCAGAAATAAAGATTAGAATCCGTACCTTTAACGTGCTGACTTGCCCCGTCACATTTTCGGCGTCCATTTGCGGGGGCGAGTACGGGGGAAATGAACCCCAAATTGCTACCCATTTCCGATTTTAAAAAATCGCAATTTTTATGTAAATTGCATCGCCAAATCACTAATGGTAATCTACGCGGCCCTATTAACGAGAATACCGTCGTTTTTAATCATTTTCTACCTAAAAACGATATTTTCTCCCAAAATAACTGAAAATGTTTTGCGCATTTTGGATCATTTTCGAGTGTTTCAAAAAAAATAATTATACTGGGTTTTGTCAAAGCGCTAATCACAACTTTTCCTGTTTTATCGAATTGGCATCATTGTATCGCACGGAGAGACGAAAAGGGAGAGACGAGAGAGCGAGAGAGATAGAGAGAGAAAGAGAGAGAGAGAGAGAGAGAGAGAGAGAGAGAGAGAGAGAGAGAGAAAGAGAGCCAGAGCGAGAGAGAGATCAGACAACGAGAAAGAGTGAGGGAACGAGAGAACGAGAGAGAGAGAGAGAGAGAGGCGAGAGCGAAAACCATGCGCGCTGCAATGCCATGATTTGCTGTTCAAAAATAAATAAAAAAAGTAAAAATTTTTGGAATTAAATGTTTCAAAACAGTTTAAAGTTGGGTGAACGTCTAGAGACGTATTGCTACAAATACCCCGTCCTCAAATTATCAATCAACCATCATTTATTCGCTAATCGAAGGGCAATCCATCGGGGGATAAGTTTCGAGTCAATCCTTCTTATCATCATTTTCATCGAAACACGAGTGTTTGTTGGCGCCGTCCGGGGGATTTAAGGTTTTTTCGGCGACGCTTGGCTGCTGGAGGTGGCCGACGACTTCGACGGGGTCGGCTTCTGCAAAAAAAAACAAATAAAATATTACATCAATTAATCTAGTAATAGCAAGTATTTTACGCTTTTTCAAAACCTTATTAACTTTCAAGTAGAAGCTTCTCAAATTTTAAAATTCGAAATTCGGACGAAATCGTCGATTTTTTGGTCGGAAAATCGTTATCTTGATGTTGTAATACCTAAAAACCGGATCCTAGAAGAGTCGCCCAACCCGCCCCCGATACTGCACAAGTACCGGTGAATGAAAACCGACCGCCTGCAGCGTTTCGGCATTCTTCTGGGCGCGTGTCGCTCGCTCGAACATGCCGCCGTAGTGCTGCTTGTAGAACTGGAACCACAAACATTTCAGAATAAGAATTTTCACCCACCTTCTGCTGCTCAATCTCGCGCTCATCAGCAAACAGGTACTGTAGGAGGGTCATCGGGTCGGCGGCGGGCACCTCACGACTGCCCGGGCCATCTAACAGGTCAATTTAAAACTCAAAAAATTTACTGATTAAATTTCCTTTAGATATTATCATTTAGTCACTTTAACTTAATCTTAGATTTAACCATTAACTGCTTTAAAACGGACTAGCTGGCGTATCACAGTCTGAGTCGACGTTGGACGTCTTGGGCGTGATGGCCTCGGTGCTCATCAGGATGCTGGCCTCGTCGAAGTAGATGCGCTGGAAGTAGCAGAACATCTAGTTGTATTTTTTACAGTATTTTGAAAAGCGCTAACTGCTGGAAAATCATAAAAAAATATTTTAAAAAATGCCGAAAACTGAAAATCAATTTCCAAATTTTTTTAAAGTTGTTTCTGAGCGTGTAAACTGTGTAAAATTATATAAAAACTAGTAATATTAGCCCCCCCTGGTAACAGCCTCGCACCGAAGCAGAGAAGCAGAAGAAATTGACATAGTTTCCCAACCTGCTGCCGGCTCAAATGGCGCCCGTGCAGCCGAATCCACGTGATCAGCATCAGCAGCATGTAGAGGGCGGCGGTGCCTAAAAAGCGTTAACACCGAAATTTCCAAGGATCACCGCTAGCTTGCCTGTAAAATACAAAAATTCCAAATTACCCGTCGCATTCTGGGGCAGCAGCGGGAGAAAGAGCACAAAAATCCCGAAGCTGAGCAGCGAGACGGTGGCCGTGGCGAAAAGGGATTTTGACGCGCTGAAATTGTGGGAATTTTAGCTAAAATAAAACTATGAAATGTCGCTATACTTTACGTGCAAAACTATCTAGAAAACCGCAAATAATGTCGCAAAAAATCTAGATTTGAATTGCTAATAAGAAATTCGACCTTTTTGCCCGTTTTTTTGTAGACGTAAAGAAATGGCAAGTAGCGTACTAATAAGTTTTAGTAGTTTTTCAATAAAATATAACTGTATCTCAGTGTAAAAAATATTTAAGCTTGAAATGTTTAATTCGATATTTTGGTAAATCGGTAAAAAGGCGAAAAACACGCATGCATGCGGGCGCTTTGCGCGTATCGTTTTCTCGCGGGGCCACGCGCCCGCGTGTTTTGAAGCCCTAAACACTCGAACCTATAAGTGAAGCCATCCACGCGCTCGGGGGCGTCGGCTGGCCGTTCTCGTGGCGGTTCCTCTAAAATAAAAAATACAAAACTACAATTACAATAACTTACCCTTCTTCGCCGTCGATCCACTTCCGGATGTCGAAACGCGACCGGTCATCAGTAAACGATCAAGATAAAATGTATTTTTGGGCTTTCAAATCTTCAAAACATAACTTTTATTCCTGTCATTCCAAGCTAATACAAATTCAAAGTGGCTAGACATAGACGCGAAAAGCAGCTAATCGCTGTAACCCGAACAAAAATAGGGTGAAAAGAATTAGATTCAAATGATGAAATCAAGCTGGGCGTTTCCTAGGTGGCTCGCCGTTCGCGGGGACGCTGCGTCGTTTGTAGCCGCGTTCCGTGCAGAATTTGCACAGCATTTCCTGAAAACGCATTTTTTATTGGGTACTTTGGCATTATCGGGGGGTCATCGGGTCAATTTTTTGTCATGATGAAATATCAAACATTTTCACATCTTTTTACGCAGTTTTTAGGTATATAAAGCACATCAAAATTTATAAAATTGTTGGAAACTTTGTGATTTTTTTGGTCAAAATGTACGAAAATGACCCAAAAAGGCCACTACTTTCAATTTTCAAAACTACAAAAATTTTTATAACTTCCGAGCAAACAAGGACTACTGACAATACGGTAAAAAAAGTAACTAACAACAGTTAAGACCGAGAAATAAAAACTAGTTCCCCCATAAAGTTTTCTAAAAAAGGTTTCCATTTTCCTTAAAGTTACATTTCATAAGCTAATTATCTAAGCAATTGCTACTAAATTATTAAGCATAGCTAACTAATAAAACATAATTATGAGTCCTAGGCTTCAACTTCGAGCTCGAAACATCAAAAGCCGTACCTGCGTGACCGGGAAGCACATGCTGTTCGCGACGGCGGTGGCCGTCCGGAACGAGTTGGGAAGAGATTTGTCCGTTCGCTCCCTCATAAATTCCCATTGGTTGCCCTAAAATCAGCATTAATACTTGTTTGAAAACCGTCAGTTTTCCCGAAAATACCCCACCTCGTTGACACGACATTCGATAATTTTGCCATCATATGGCAGTAGGGCTTTCGTCGCCTTCATCACCGCAAATGGGGCCGACGAGTTCTGGACGTATAGTAGACCGTCGTGTCTTGCTAACTCGCCTGGCTTCACCACCCTAAAACAACAAAATTTTTTACTAGAAGTGGAGTTTCAAAAATTCTAAAATCTTCTAAAACATCTGCGAAAAAAGCGAGAAATACCTAATTTCAGGTCTTCTCAAATTTTGCGAAAACTACATCAACCAAAATTAAAAAATTGCGTTTGAGATTCAAAATAGCGCTTTTTTTCTAGCAGCAAGTTTTGCAATCGATTGACTAAAAACACGTTCTGGTGCGCAGGAAGTAATTAGCATCTTGTAATCCTTACCTTGTAATCCTCAGCAGGAAATCTATGGAATTGTGGGATGGCGGTTTCCATTTGAGCACCGAGTCCTGGCGGCCGGATTTGTATTCCTGCGGAGTTTTTTTTAGATAAAAACCAGGTCCTAAACCTCATCGCACGGCTGGAAAATCAGCCCGTCGATCTCGTGCCCGACGTTCTTGACGAATTTGTCCTCGAAGAATTTTGGCAAGCTGAAAATTAGAATTTGGAAAAAGAATTTTTCAACAACAAAGATTTAAAAAGTTTTGTGTTTAAAAAGTTCCACAAGTTTCTAAACAAACCTGCAAATTTCCCAAAATTCCTTCAGGCGCACCGACATCAGCTCGTCTTGTTTTCGTAGTGTGCCTTTCTAAAAACCGAATTTTTCAAAGCTACGAAAAACCCACGTGAAAAGCGTGGGTCCTCGGTTCGATCAGCTCGCGTTTGATGCATTCTTTCCTCTGATCATACATCATCTTGCGTATTGAGAAGTTCTAGAAACTAATGATTCTTTGACAGAAAACAGTAGTCACCTCGAAATGTATGATGTCGTAGATCAGCAGCCGAGGAATCTCTTGCTCGACGCCGTTTTGGTCTTTTACCTAGAAATTTGGAGCTTAAATTTGAAAAAAAGAATCATACCTTATCGATAATGACTTCGCAATCGACGAGAGTATTCTGGACGTGACGTGGCTCTTTGCGATGCGGAAATCTGAACTTATAGCATGCATTATTTTATCCTTAAATTCCATACTTTAAACGCGGCAATTCAAATACGTCGTTATCACGATCAAACGCAAAGATCTCGTCCTCGTCCCGAATGTAGACCATATATCTAAGAAACTAAGCTACGTAACGCCACACGAGGCACACCTCATTCCGTCGGCTTTCCAGGAGACAACGTACGGCCGCAGCGCCAAATTCTTTAGATTGTCGTTTTCCGGCGGTGATCGGGCCAGCGACACTGGTTGCGAGCCCGGAAAGCCGTCGCTTCGGTATCCGCACAGCTCTTTGATCTGAAAGTATTATTATTTACTGAAAAAATCTGTAAAATTCACAAATGACCTTTTTAATCGACTCTGCATTTCAAAATGTTGATAAAATAATCTACCTTTGCTTGTAACATGCCCCTCTTGATCGGATCTGTAAGCAATGAGACGCCGGGCACTTGTCCGTCCATGAACTGCTTGACCTTGACGGCCGGAGGGGGCGCTGGCTCGTCTAAAAGACGAGTTGATAGCTGATAGTTTTCTTACTTTTTTGTATAAGCCTAGAAATGCCTACTGACTAATAGCAAGTGTTTTAATAGTATTTTTCGTAAGCAAAGCTACATTGCAACTAGAAAAACCATCTAAAAACCCTAAAACGACTCTGAAAAATTTTAGTCAAAAAAGGTCATTTTGGCCGATAAATCGAATTTGTTGGCTTTCTAATACAAAAATTTACGTTTAAGAATAGTAAAAAAACCATTTCGAAGCGCTTTCAGTCTTTATCTTTGAAAAATTAGCTGCTAAGAAAAGAAGCTCAACGCACAAAAAACGTCTTTTTTATGAAAAATCTATACCTCCATCATTTCCATTAGTGTGCGAGGTGCTTGCTGAAGCCTCAATCGCGTCCACCATCGTCGTCGAGTCGTTATATTCCCAGGCGGGCCGGTCCGGAGCTTGAAGCCGCTCTTCCGGATCGCCATACCGCGAGATCAGATCGTCGATGTAATCCTGTTTGTAGATGCCTGCATAAAAAAGTATAAGTTTTTTTATCCTGATAAACCTGTCGGTCGTCCATTCAAAAACGCGTGGATCGCCATGTCGGGGGCCCAGCTCTCCACCTCGCAAAGATAGGCGCAGATCAGGAAGCCGGTACGGTTGAAGCCGTGCGTACAGTGGATGCCCACCACAGCGTCTGGATTATCCTAAAGAAAATGCAAGTTTAGACAAGACATATAAAGCTTTTGATTCTATCGATTTTTCTACCAAAAATGCCAGTCTTTTGACCAAAATTACGACTTTTCAAAATTTTTGGAAGTTTTAGAGCTTTACTAGGTTTTTATATACCTTTATCCAAAATTAAACCATATTTGAGGTCAAAACTATTTAAAAGCGAGAATTATTTGAAAACCCTGTTATTTTAGGTCCAAAAAAATCTATTTTTTCAACCCTTTCCTTCGCTAATACTTCGTTGTCGACGTCTTCCAAAACGTACCGCCAAGAATCCTTTTGTCAATCGAATAAACCGATCAACTTCTTCCTGGGTTGGCGTGGCTTTGTGACCGGCGAGGGCCATCTTTCGATATTTACACCCGTCTTGTTCGGCCTAAAATGTGAACTCTAACATTTTTTCGATAGCTCGATACCTCGTCTTTGAAATAGTAACGATCCGTCTTGGTCAAATCAATCCAGAGCCCAATCTTCTTGCCCTGTCGCTTCATCGCGTCAAAAGCGTCGGCTGGGTGGAAGCGTAGGCTGGCATCTTGTATCTAACAAATGCTGAGAATTTGAAAATCGTGAAGGTGCGTACCTGATTATCGTAGAGCGAGCAGAGCGGCGTTTTGAACGGGAAGAAGCGGCCGAAGACGAGCTTTCCCATCTTTGGGCAATAGAGCCAGCGGTCGGGGAGACCAAATCGAGTTTTCTCTTCGGTGGGAGACATCTGGAAAATTTTTTTTTTATCCATGATGTCTCAATAAAAAACACCCCCTCTAACTCGACGCAGAAGCTTCGGATCGAAACGAAAGTTACACCATTCGGAAGCACGCCAAACGGCGAGTTTGTAACAATCTCCAAACCCTGTTTTTAACATTCCGATCCGATACAGCTGCGTCGAGTTAGAGCGGGGGTTTTTTATGGGTTACGCTGTACATCCCGTGAAAATGAAAAAAACCGGAGAAGATCTAAACTTTCGAACCTGGGTTGCTCTTTCAAACGTTTATCAAAACCAATTTTTTGGTTTTCAAAGTTTTGGTTCTTTCAAAGTTTTGGTTTCCTTATTCTATCAAAAGCATGGTTTTTTACTAAAAACCGGCAAAGTTTAAACTTTTCAAATCCTCTTTCAAAAATTTGGTAAATCTTACCTCGATCCGCCAATTTTTTTCAGCGTTGCGCAACGGCGCCTTGACACGTACACAACGCTCCAATCAACGTGGTACGTTGTGCTCGGATGGGGTTTCGTAACACCGCTTTATTCGCGGCGGGCCGGTCGCTCTGAAATTTCTAGACTTTTTTGGTCTTTAGAAATCAAAAACTCTATAATTCTTCCATTTTTAGTGATGGCCGCGACGGAGACGATGACCGACGAGCAAAAGGCCAATCTCGAAGCCCTACGGCTGAAATTGGAGGCCGAACAACGGTCAAGAAGATCCGTCTACGAAGCCATCATTTCGTTGATGGACACCGTCGATGAGGCTACCCTACAAAAACAGGTTCGAGTGTTTAAATGAAGCCTGGGGTCCTGTCTTAGAATTTTCCGGTTGAAATACCCTACCCGCTAGAGCTTTTTCTGAATAAGACACTTTTCTATGATCCAGTTTTTTTTAAAATGAAGCGGAAGCGTCTTTGCTATCCCTAAGCGTAAACCCTTTACCAAAATAAGTCAGAAAGTAGTTTTTTATTAAAAATAACCGTTTTTGTCCAATGGACTTTTTAGCATTTTTTAACGTTTTAGCAAGTTTTCGAGTTGAAATACAGTTTTATTCTACTATAAAGACTATTAAAGCACTTGCTATTAAATTGCTAGGTATTTCTAGACATACAAAAAGTCCCCCCCGATAATGCGAAAGAACGAAGAATTTTTGTACATTAATTTCAGGCTAATCTCCTCCACATAGAATCGTGGGATGAGGTGGTCGAAGAGCGCTACCTTTCCAAGGTATTTCAACAATTTTCGGCGCTAATATCTTGTTAGGTTTGCGGCTGGCCCACTTGCCCGAATGAGATCACGCCAGGCAGGAAGTTCCAGAAATATCACATTGACCGGAAGGCGAAGAAGGTGGGGCTCGGGTTCTAAACTAAAAACCGTTTTAGGTTTATGAAGTTTGCCCGGAGCGTGCCAAGTACTGCGGCTCGATTTGCTTCGATCGTTCGGTGGCGCTGAAGGCACAGTTGCCAGCCGAGTCGCTCTGGCTAACCGGAAGTCGCAAAGGTACACCCGTAGATAAATGTTATACTTCCTCGGTTTCAGAGATTATCTTCGACTTGTCGGTCCCGGAGAAGCCGTCGATGAACATAAAGCCGCTGCCGGATTCGGTCGAATTTGTGGCCGACAAGGTTTGTGAATTTATTTATGTTTCCTTGTGAATTTTCATTTATTTATTAAAACTTTGCAATTTTTTATCGAAACACCCCTCTTTGTTCCTAAATAAAGTGTTAAAATCATCGGTTTTTCGACCAAAGATTTTTAGAAATTGTTCGAACTTTCTAATTACACAAAACTTATGAATTGATAGTTCGACGTTAAAAATGCCGGGTTTTTTGTTTGTTTCTTTATCAATTCTTTCAGGTCCTCGCCCAACTCTCCGACCTGAGAATCGCGGAAAATGCAGCGGAAACGGATTCCGACGACGAAGAGGAAACGACATTTTCCGGGGAACCGATAGAAAAGTGCAATAAAGAGGTAACAACTTCTAATCCCTAAAAATTCCAAATTCTAGGACCTTGACTTCATAGCGTCGATCAAGAATTTCGTCAGCAGCAAAGCGGGCGATAGCAAGGAGGAGGTGAAGAAAACGCCGGAAAGAAAGAGCCCGGCGAAACATCCGCTAAACAAGGTATTTTGTCTAAAAATGACTGATTTGTTTCAATTTTTAGGAAACTGATGCCGAAAAACTGGCACGACTTCGCGCAAAGCATGGAACGAATAAACAACCAATTAGGTAGGCTAGAAAAATTGTTTATTACTTTTTTTAGGAAAAGCATCCCGTTTATCGAGCCAACGGCGTTGCCCGTAATTCACAAGGGAGAAAAGACGATTTCTGCGGCGGGAAAAGTGGAGAAGCAGGTGAAGAAGGCCAATATGAAAGCTGTCTGTGCGTTGATACGGTAAGAGAATTTAACTTTTTGGTCTTAATCGAATTTTCAGAGAATGGCTGGGCCATCGGACACGCGAATTGGTGAGGGTCGGCGGGGCGCGGCCCTTCAGCGAAGTCGACGCGATTTTCAAGCGCTTCTACGCCGGGGATATGGCTGATCGCGAGGACTTGGTAGGGGTTTTGCTTGGTTACACCAACTTTTCTATTCTCAGTTCGACAGCATCTACTTGCCGTCCGTTGCCTCGCTCGATGCGCACCGGATGAGGTGCGACATGTTGTTCCCGTTGCTCCGGAAAACGTAGGTTTTTGGAAAAAGGCAATTTTGGTTCTTTCCGGTTTTCTTTAATTCTATGATTTTTAAAAGTTGGCCTATTAATCAAAGGCATACAATGCGTTTTCTAATCTTTTTAGTGAAATTTCTGCTGAAATAAGCTGAAATACCATCGAATTATGTTTGAAATTTGGCATTTTCCCGATTTTAAGTGATAGAAAAATCAATTTTGGATCCTCAAAATTACTAACCTATTTTCTATTGGTTTAAAAGTACCGAAAAATTATAAATTGAATTTTTTAGATGGGACCGGATGGAAGATCGGATCGCTTCGCCCCGGAAACACATTGACGAGCTTGCCGCGCTCGTGCGCTCGATGAATCTGACGGCGGAGAATGTGCTCGGTTTCCGCGCTGAAGACGTGCACGCGATCGTCATTGTGCTGTTTAGAGTGTAGGTTTTTGAGTCATTTTTATTTTATTTTTAGCTTTTTAAATTTTACAAGTAAGTTTGTGCTTTTCAGGGTCTGCTACCTGTGCCCGCCATCCGAGGAGCAGCACTTCTTCCCCGCCAATCAACCCCCAACGGCCCCAATCCAAAAGCACCTCCAGAAAATTGGCGTGGATTTTGACGAATATTGTGCATTTTTGAAAGAGCTGGAGGCTGCGTTCAGTTTTGAATGATTTGTATAGATCTGTTTTTTGTTTTGTTACGACTTTCCCTGTTGATTTTACACTTTGCAAATCGGGTCATAAAGATTTCTCAGCAAACGGAATCGAAATTTTCGTGGTGGTTTTATCCACAAATATCTGGGTTTTTTTTGAAAATTCTTTATTGCGTAATTTGGTTCAAAAATATACCGATTTGCCGTTTTAGATGGAAAAAGAGAAAGCGCACGTCGTCACCGGCGGCCTGAAGCTAAAGAAAGGCGATTTGTTCAAGAAAAAGAAGAAGAAGATGGACTTCAAAGAGGTCGACCTTACAATCAAGAAAGACGGAGCCGCGGGAGCGTCGAAGATGACGGAAGCTGAGCGAAAATTCAAGGAACGACAAGATAAGAATATGGTAGGAGCTTTTTACTTAGTTTTAATGGTTGTAGATTTTCTGGGGAACCCAATTTTGTTTCTAGGAATCTAGATTTGCCTAGTGACTTCATCGCAACTATTTAAATACGTTTCTGGCAACATTTGACTTTATTACAAGCCAAAAACTGTCTCGAAAACTTGGGAAAGGTGCTTGAAAATTTCAGATTGTGATCGAAAATCGATTTTTTTGATAAAAAAAAAAGGCGAGCTAGAAACCCTCCTTATAATTATATTAAAAAAGTCTGGGTTAGTAAATTTAGTTACTTTTCCGAATAAAACCGCCTTTTTTCAGTTTGAACGGCTACAAAAGAAGGCGGCCGTCTCGCATCGCGAAAAGGTGGAGGAGTTCAACAAGCAGATGGGCGAGCTCACCGAGTTCAACGACATCCCGAAGGTCTCCTGGACAAAGTGAAATCTCCCTCTTCTTCATTTCCCGACAACCCACTCGTGTTTATTATCCCCTCCCGATATTTGTGCCCATTCCCTCACTTTGTTACCATTTTATATGTACACAATTCTTGGAATAAACGGTTTTGGAATTAAAAATCAAGGTTGAGACAGCTTTGCAAGAGGTTTGGAGCACTTTACGTATTTGCAGTCAGGGTGTTTCTAAGCTTTTTTTGTTATTTCCAACGAGAAAACTACAAATAAGAAAAACATCAGAAATGCCGATTTTTCGACCAAAATGTTCTATTTTGGACCTTTTTAACCGGAGCCTTTTTTTTGTTTTTAGGTAGTTGACCGATGCTCAAGTATACAACACGGATCCTGCAACGATTAGCGGTGCCGTCGGCTTCAACTTGCTCTAAAATATCCCTATCAGCCGCCAGATGTTCAAAAGCAGACGACAAACAAGTTGGAATTGCTTAAAAACGCAACTTTTTATCTTAGGAATCGTCAACCCCCGCACAAGCGCAACGAGGTGATCTACAAGGCCAAGTTGAGGGACAGGTAAAAATTTGGTACTTATCAAGTTGGGGGGGGGGCACTTTGGTTTTCGACTTTTTCAGTCTTTCTAGGCTGGTTTTTTGTGCTGGTTCCGAATATAACGAAATCAGAGTAGTAAAACATCATTATCTAAGCGTTTGTTAAGAGTTAGAGTTTCAGCTACCCAGTTTGAGCCTAAAAATAAGGCTTCGTGCCACCCGGGGCCTAGTCGCTTCGGATGGGTGCGAGCTCGTACAGGGTTTCGAAATCGGGGCGCCCGAGGAGCGCGAAGCGCCCAGGCGCCCCGATTTTGAAAGAGTGGAGCGGCAGCCCATCCGAAGCGACGGCCCGCCTTGCCTGACGATGCGGCATGCCCAAATTGTGCATAAGTCCACTATTTATTAATAAATTTTTTACGCTGTTTTTCTGGATAAACCCAACGGTTTGACATGCTGTTGCGACTCTAATCGCATTCAGCGTAAAAAACTACCCCAGAAAGACTCAAAAAAGCGATAAAAAAGTGTCTCCTAATAGGTACCCAAAGTGGCCCCCCCCAACTTGATAAGTACCAAAAATTTTACTCCTTGTAAAAACCCTGTGTTTCCAGGTAGCAAAACCGAAACGCCGTGCCGTATTCGACAGTGACGCTCGGAATGTGCCCATATCGTTGAATTTCCCGAATAAGAAGGGACAGGCAGAGTAAGAGTTTCCAAAACAACAAATACATTTTTATTTTTAGTTATAACCCAAGCGCTTCTATCGAGGAGCTGGTGAGGGATGGGCCGGATATTATGCGAGCGCAGACAAAGGTTAATTTTTTAGGCGTCTAAAATACTATTTTTTAGATGCTCATCAAAGAAACGAAGGAGATCTTCAAAAATGCCGAGCCAGGAAGAGTCGAATTTTTGGTATATTTTTTGAAAAGCTTTTATCATACGGAAGATCGTATTTAGGAAGACATCGGGCACGTTCGGCAGGATGAAGCAAGAATAGAGTACACCTTCGATTCAGACGAGGTTGGGACTTTTAGGGCTTTCAATTCGACTTTTCATTTAGGCATTATCCCTCTGGCATACCGGCTGCGATTCCGATTTCTCGGAGGGTTTTTCGACGGTGAAATGGGAGCGCACGGATCAGGGGACCGCGATTTTTAGGTAGTTTATCTTTTGAACATCGAAAATTTGTATTTAGTGGAAACCTGAGCTCTCAGCTGATGCGCACGGGAAAAGTGGAAAGAGCTGGGTGTGTAGATTTTAGAAAATTTTGAATTTAGCATGTTTTAGTTGGGCCTCGATCAAGCTGGAGCAGAGGCGCTCGTTCAACCGGAAGAAGTTCTTCGATCGGTGGCGCAATTTTTCGCATTTGTTGGTAAAGGTAAATAAGGTTAAAAAATTCAGCATAAAAAAGCTTTTAAAGGCCTATAAAAGCTTTCCTAAATACTTAAAACTTAGAGTTTTCCTTTAAGTTTTGCCCATTGTTACCTTCTTTTTTCGACGGAGAAGTATAATTTTTTGGCTTTTGATAGTACTGTATTGCAAGGACTGCCTAAATAACTTTGGCAACTTACACAAAATACGAAATTATTTAAACAAAATAGAGTTTTATTTTAGTGTCGCGGCGACGGCCGTTCTTACAAGGTGATGCTGCACGCGCCGATGACGATCGACGTCTCGTGGGGCGACTCCTGGTCGTTTCCGCTGCATACGCACGGCGGTAAATGAGTTTTAAGGTTTTCAAGAGTTCATTTTAACTTCAGGCCCCTACTGGCAGTACGAGCGGATCCCGTTTTCGAAATTCTTCCACACCGTCGCCGGGCGGATCCAGGACAAGCAGATTCCCATCCATTTGCCGAATGTTAGGTATTAAAAGATTTATATTCGATTAGGCCATTAAATTCAGCTCGCTCGGCATCGTGTTGATGGACCGCGTGGACGGGCCGTTCAGGCTGGAGCTGGAGTTCATCGGCGTCGTCAAGGTGCGTAGATTTTTTTAAGAAATCGATAAATGCGTAAAAATCCATAGGAAACGCATATCCGTGCCTTGCCAATCTCTTTAAAAATTAATAGCTTTCCTCCGGCAACCCTCTAAAAGCCCGTTTTTTCAGGACTGGACGCACCGCGAAAAGTTCGCCTACGAGACATACGTCATCCCGATGTGGAACACGGCCGGCATGTAGATGGGAAATAGCTCAAATTTTTCTGGGTATTTCTAGGTTTTTTATAGCTTGTTATGTAGCTTTTATTTGTTTTTTTCAAGCTCAACGAGTCCAAATACAATTTATGCGATTTATTGTTTTGTTTTCAAGCGCTTGTCTTGCTGTTTTTGTGTTTGTCTATCGAATGAAACCTTGCAACTCTGAGATGTACATCATCACAACACGATTTATTCGCGACAAAAAATGGTCGTGCGACTTCCGTGGCGGGCGGTTAAGGCGAATGCTCGTTTAATGTTTTTTAAGAGATGAAGAATCGGTGAAGGCGGTCTGCGAGAAGGGCGTGAGTTGGGTGTGGGAGACGAGGAGTTAAGAAGAAAGATTCGGAGGCGAAGTGAACGAGGAATCTAGAAAAAGAGTTTTTTTTTGTGTTTCGAATTCATTTAGGTGCAGCTCAACATCCCCGACACGTAACGTAACTTTTAGAGCAAGTTCGGAAGGGTTGATGTTGAGGTTTCGTCCAATAAGTTCATCTAGCAATACCTCATCTACTTCTTGTCGACGGGGCGCACGACGACGTTGGTCGGCTTCAGGTCGCCGCTGGCGCGGACGATGACCTTGGCGCGAAGGCCGGAGACGTTGGCCGCCGCCTGGGAGCCGTCGACGCGGACGAGCACCTGGAGAAATGAAATTTTTCCTGGTAAGCCCTTATGGTCCTCTAAAGAAGATAATGTATTTTTATGCATTTTCTTTAGTTTTTTTTTAGTTAGAAAAGCCTCATAAAAACCATAAAAACTGTAAAAAAATTCTTGATTTTTATCAAAAAGGCATGAAGATGACCAAACATTTATAGGCGTCTTTAAGAATTTCCTAGCGGTTAAAACGGCTTAAAACTATAAAGATGCACATACCCTGAGCCGATTGCCCTGGTCGGTCTTGACGATGGAGATGTTCGGGTTGACGGTGGTGGGCTCGGGCTCGGGCTGAGGCTGCTGCTGCTGCTGGTTCAGCTTCAGCGGCGACACCGGGCCCGTCTTGTTGAGGTCGTGGCCTGCAATCGGAGTTGAGTTTCTCCAACGTTCTCTGCTAGCTGGCCCAGGCATGCGACCGAATCGTGCATAACTTACCACATTTCGGGCAGCACTTGCGCGGCTTGTGGTGGTGGACGGCTGAAAAAAATGTATTTTGGTAAAAGTTCCCCCGATAAGAAACGGGCACCAAATTCCTAGAAACCTAATAGAACCGTTTTAATGTTGATTTTCGTAAAATCGTAATTTAAAGCAGAAAAATGTTTAGAAATTTATCAAAATAAAAAAATCAAATTTCCGAAATTTTTTACTTTTGATGGAGAATTTAATTTGTAAATCTCATGTTCAAGAACAGCTTTAAGACGAACGCTTGGCCACGCGGTTGGCCGGCGTGGTGGCGGAGGTGTCGCGGGCGGCCGAGTTGTTGCCCGGCTCGGTTTGGGTGGCTAAAAAAACCGAAATGTCGAAAAGGGAAGTCGTCTGGGCTGGCTAGCAGGGATTCTTTGGCGAAAATCACGATGTAATTCCACCCACCCTGCGTGAGTTGGGTACGCGGGCTCGATGCGCACGAGATGCCGATCGCTTCACTATAAGTAAAATTTTTTAATTAGAAAAGAATTGCTAGAAAAAGAATTTTTTCATGTAAAAAATATTTCGAAACATTCTCTTCAATTCAATTTTCATAATTTTTATAGGTCTAAAATCGATTTAAACGGACATTTTTCATTGCTTTTCGACGTGTTTTGGTAAAAGGTATGACACGCACAAAAAGAAAAAATTGAAAGAAAAAGAAACAAGGGTTTAAAGAGAAATGCTAAAACATTTTTTTGCACGAAAGAACAAAAATTATATGGTTCTTTGAATAATTTTAATAGCTTTAATTGAAAATGATAAATAGATTTCCGCGCACTTGATGGCGTCGCTGATGGGCTGCGTCTCGTCAAGCGGCGCCTGCGAGATGCTGCCCTTCTGTAAAATTGAAAAATTGCAGCCGAATTTCTAAAAATTACCTTTTTCGGGGTGCGTCTGGCCGATGGGCTGAGCGATCTAAAGGCGTTAATAAAATTAAATGAAGCTATTTAGAATTTAATTAAATTACGTATTATAAAAATACTAATAAAACTGGTCTAACAAATTCGCAAAATTAATTTTAATAATTATCACAAAATTTCCTGCCAGGAAAATGAACTCTCGAATTATTCCCGCGTTCGAAATTCGACGTGTGAAAATCGTCAAATTTGAGGATGAAACATTAGCCATTATTCCAGCCGGTCGAAATTTGGAAATTTATAAAACATTTTCTCAAAACCGTACGCAAAAGAATTATTTTAACTCAATTAATAAAAAAGTTAGGGTCCCACTTGAGCGACTTGAGCACCGAGGGCACGGCGGCGAAGCGGGTGGAGCGGCATTTCGAGCTGAAAAAGGCGGAATTTAGAGCCATTGAAATATTGAGGACTTTTCTAAAAATAACAAAACAAATGCCTAAAAATAAAATTTCTAAAGCTACTAACAGCTCGAAAAGAGCACCTTTTGGATGAGGTGGACGACGAGTGCTGCGAGGTGGACTTGGCCGGCGGGTAGCCGATCGGCTTCGACGCGAAGCGGTTCGTCTTGCAGCTAAATGGTAGTAAAAACTTTTTGGTTTAAATGGAGATAAAATTACTAACAAAAAAAATGAAATCGTAGCCAAATCACGATGAGTGCCACAGAAGTTAAAATTTTGAGCCGGTTCCTATGATTGAAAATTCGTGTTTCATATATTTTTAATGCCCTTGGGTGGAAAATACGGGAATAAACTAGACCTTATCACGAGCTGCGATAACTAATAAAATCAGCATTTCTAATATAAAAACAATTTTTTAATGTTCTAAGTAAACTCAATAAAATCAATCCCAGACCGGAATTCGGTGAAGTAAAACGTTTTTTTTGAAATGTCAGGTTCGAATTTTTTAAAGGCTTTTGGCAAAAAAAAATGGTTTTTGCAATTTTCCTGCGCCTGCTTTGGTTTCAGCTTAATTTGAACCTTGTTTGAAAACCGGACAATTTTTATTATTTGAAAATGTAAAATTTCGTGAAATTGGGTTAGATTGCCCGGGTTTTCAGAGTTATTACAGGGTTATATAAAACGACGGAGGGCGTAAAGGACGTTGCAATACCAAGAGCGTAAAAAATTTTAGCTTAGAAATTTTTTAAACATTTTTCAATTTCTCGACAATGATTGTGGTATGGAAATGAATTGAGCATTTGCAACCTTCAACCGTATTTTCGCTAGTTAAATTTTAAATCTTACCTATGAACGGCGCCAAAAAAGTTGTCGCTTTTCAAAACAAGTTTCAAATATTTTAAGGCTGTATAATTTTTTTAGGCCATATGATCTCCGGCGTTGCTCACAATGAATTGGAAGAGCGCGAGGTCGAGGCGTGGCTCTTGGCGGGAGACGGCTTCTTCTTGGACTGGCTGGGCGAGCCGGTGCCGCCGGGGGAGATGGCCGTCGGGCTGGAGGAGGGCAGGTGAGAATGGGGTAGGCTAGCAGGGATTCTCGAGGAACGGGCAGGTTAGCAGAAAAAAATTTGGGCTTTGGGCAAGGTTGCAGAATTTCCATAAAAATTTAAATCTTTCGGAAATCGAAAATTCGACATTTTTTCGAAAAAAAATGTTTTGCGAAAAGATTACTTGTCGAGAAAGTGATTTTCGGGAATATATTCGTCAAACCGATTGCCGCCCTTTTTTGTAAATCGGAGGCTAGCAGGGATTCTTTCGGAACACTCCTCGTAAAAAATCTCGTCGTAAAACCCTAAACTACGCACAATCCACTGGACAGTCTGCGGGCGCCGGACTTTGTCGAGCAGTTCACCACCTCCTCCTGCTTGCTGGCTGGGGTGCGCTGCCCGCCAAGGCCACTAAAAATTAGGTAGTTGTATAAAATAAAGGTTCATTTAAATTTTGTCGAAAATTAGAATGTCGAAATCGCAATTTTTCGACATTTTTGTCGAAATGTCAATTTGCCGAAATTTAATTTTGTCGAAAAACGCAGCTGAAAGCCGACATTTAAATGGGTCCCAAAAATTAAAATCGTAAAACTTTAACTTCAAAAAGTGAATTATAAAATTAAAGACTTCGACAACTTTTCGACATTCCAATTTGCAAATCACAGAAACCCAAAAATCGCCTACTTGGCCGGACCCGAGCACGTGGCACGCGACGCGACCGACGAGCCGCGCGAGCGGCTGCCCACGCATTTGGTGGAACCGCTGGAAATATGCAAATTCCTTCAAAGGTTACGGTAACTGGGGGGCGGGGTTAAAAAAGGAGTTTGCTACCATTTGAGCTCGCAATAATAAAGTGAAATTGCGCGAGGACAATTTAAATTAGGATGAAACATGCGGGTAGACCGTAAACTTTCACACCTTCCAGAAACGGAACGTAATAATTTGTGAGAATTATACCCTTGAGTTCGCTCATCAAAATGCCGTCGCAATAAGCTGGAACTTGGCGCACAATATTTTAATTTTGATGAAACATGAACCCAGAAAAATTCCACGAAAAAAAATTAAATTCTTCTGTATTCAAGCGTTCTCTCCGCATTTCTCCGCCTATTAAAATAAAAGCCTAGAAAAAATACTAGCATTTCGACAAAACATCCGAAGATTTAAACTGTGAAGTTTTAATTGAAATTTTAGAGGTTTCGGACTAGAAAACATGGTTTTTAATTAACTCTGCTAAAACCCCATCATAAATTAAAATAATTTCAATTTAATTCGTTTGTTGTGGCGAGCAAATTTAAAATCTACGCTCTACAAAAAAGATTTTTAAGTTTTTGGTCAGGTACGGTACCTGAGGTCACGGTACGCGGTGCGGACGCTGGAGAGTCGTGTGCGCGGGGAGCGAGAAGGGCGGCCGAGGGACACCGTCGATACCGTATTACGACTGCTAAAAAAAGAAAAAAAAAACAAAAAAATGCAAATAAATACTGTGGTAATCAAAAAATATTGGAAGTTACAGTACCGCTCAGCGGGGGACGCGGCGCGGAGGCGCTCGATGGAGACGCCAGTGACGGGGCACACGCTCGGGTCGGCTTCAGATGGGGATTCCGAGCTAAAAGAGGTAAATTGTGCATCTCTCTCTTTCTCTCTCTCACTCTTTCTCGCTCTCTCTCTCTCTCTCCCTCTCTCTCATTCTCTCTCTCTCCCTCTGTCTCTCTCTCCCTGTATCGCTCTGTCTCTATCTCTTTCCCTCCTTCTCTATCTCTCTCTCGCTCGTTCTCTCTCTCGTTCGCTCGCTCTCTCCCTATTTTCTCTCTCTTTCTCCCTTTCTTTCGTTCTCTCTCACTCTCTTACCTCGAATTGCTAGCCGGACTCCTCGGGCAAACCGGCGATTTCCAGGTCGAATTGGTGAACGGCGACAGGGCCGTGTCCAGAGGTGTCGTGCGGACACTAGACATTTCAAAGGGAGCATGACAGCCGGCACTCTGTTACAGTACCTAGCCTCCTCCTTCTGCTTCTGCTTCTCGACTTCCCTGGCGGTCTGTGTGTTCGGGCTGACCGTCGGCGAGGCGTGGCCCGACTTGGCCGGCGAGTTCGGCGAGCGAGCCGTCCGCGGAGAGCGGAAACTGGAAAGACAGCTAGAGTTTTGGAAGTCCAACTTATTTAAATTTACGTAAAAACTCGATTATCGTCAAATTTTTGAATTTTTTAAAGCCTTTTACAACCTTTGCAGGGCTTTTGTAATAACCAGAAACCGGGTACGGTTTACTTTACCCCCCCCCCCCAGCCGGAAGTTTTTGGCTATAACGTTTTTATTTTACATTATTGTAGGCTCAAATTAAAACTCTTAGTATATTTTTCGACGCTCTATCGAATGGCGTTGCAAAAATCCCGACAAAATAAGCGAAAATACCGAAAACTTTGAGACCCTTCGGCTGTGGGGGGGGGGGGGGGTGTAATTATTTAGAAGGAAAATTTTTGCTAAACTTTTGTATATGAAACATTGTTTTTGTTTTACACCCAAATGCCAGAGTAAATTTGCTGAAGTTGTAACTTTTTTACTTTTCGCGGAGTATTCAGAATAGGAAAACGTATTTTTTTAAAAAGGTTGTCTGGAACACATTTTTTATCTAAAAAAACTCTTTTCTAGAAAGCGAAGCTATGCACAGTAGACCTCCCGAACCCCCCCCCCCCGCCCCCATTTACCCCCAAGGACCCCCATTTTGACCCCCATCGCAACACCCCCCAAAACCTCCAACAGACACCCATGCCAACCCCCAATGGACCCCCCATTCCAACCCCCAAAGACCCCCATTGGGCAAAATTCTGGCTATTTTAAGTTAATGTTTTTAAGGTTTAAAATCGTTTCAGCCTTTTTCAACTTTTTTTTCAACACCCCTGAAAACCCCCATTCGAACACCCCGCCCAACCCCCAACCTACCCCCCTCGCAACCCCCCTATGACCCCCATCCAACCCCCACAAGTATGGGGGTAAATGGGAGGGGGGGGGGGGGGTTCGGGAGGTCTAATGCACAGACCATTATTCAGCGAGTAAATTTGAAGAGATCACGCAAAATTGCAGAATTCGAGAATCTATTTATCTTTCATTTTTCTGGAACACAGTTTTTCACCAAATTTTCTACGCGGCGTGTTGCTGAAAATCAATTTTCTACAGCTGGCAAAGGACCTTTGCGGAAAATTCAAATTGGCCTAAAACCAACTCGGGTCCGTTGGAGCGATAGGCGAGGTTGGTGACGACCGGGGAGACGCTGCGGTATCGACTGATGTAACGGGACGGCTGGCCGCCAGGGGGGATGGGGATGACGCCGGGCGGGGCTCCAGGCTAAAAAGCGGAGTTAAAGGTGCCGGCAGGGCTGAAATCTATGACCTGTAAATTCCCTCAAAACCTCGGATCAAAACGACCGATTTTCAACAAAAAATTTCATTTTGAAATGTTTTAAGTTTTTGGATACTTTTTCTACTTTAAGTATATTGAAATTTCACTATTACGAAGTACAAAAATTTTTTTGTTATTTTTTTGCCTTTAAGGTCCCTTTAAAATCACCTGAGACGCCGCTGGGTGAGCTTGGTGGGCTGGCTCGGGGGGCCGTCGGCCGAATGGGTGCGGATCACCTCGTAGGTCTGGCCGGTTTCCTAAAGGAACGATGAAGCGAGAGAGAGACAGAGACAGAGTGAGAGAGAGAGAGAGAGAGAGACAAGAGAGAGCGAGATCCCTACCATATGCGGAACAGTAATCTCATTCTCGATGCGGACTATTCCGCGCCCCACAGACACGAGCTCGACGATTTGTGGAGGATTTCCGGGAAGCTGGCTGGCGCTTTTCAGCGTCCCTTTCAGCTCCTGAAACAGAGTTTTGTACTGGGATTGGAATACGCCGGAAATTCACAAAAAGAATCAAATGTCACCATTTTCGGGTAGATTAATGTTTCAGAAACTAGTAAAAATCTCAGATTCAAAAATAACAGCTCATCTTCAGTAAAAAATTTCATGTTTCAAAAATCATTAAAAATTCAGGATTTTTTGAATTTGCATTCCGCGTGCGTGTAGTGGTAGCGATGTTGTCATGAGGTTAAAATTCTCACAGCATTCGGGCGATTCGGTGACTGGTCAAAGTGGATCTCGACGGCGTTGCGGATGAGGAGATGGCCGAGGTTGCCGCGGCGCTGCGCGCTGACGCGAAGCCCGACGTTGAGTGGGCCACGCAGGTCCGCCGAGGAGGATGAGCTCGAGGAGGCCGAGGTGGGAGACTTCGGAGGGAGAGCTGAAAAACGGTTTTGAATCGCGCTTATCTCTGTTGAAAATCAAAAATTCAAGCATTAAAAATTTTTTAGGTCATAATGTTTCAAAAAAAAATTGCGTAAATGTTGGAAGCAGTCCTCTAAAATTAGAGGACTGCTTCCAACAATATAATAACTTTTTTGATCCCCCACCTGTTAGATAAAAGACTGCTTCAGCTAAATAAAAAAATGTGGCTTCATTTTTTCACAATTACGCAACGTGTCATTTTGGCTTGTGCTATGGTTAAAGTTAAAGTGTAACCTTTCAAAAGTTCATAGCAAAAAATTTTTTGGATTTTTATGTTTCAAAAAAAAACCGATAGTCAAGATGCAGGATCTTCATTAGACGTTAGCCGTTTTTTAAAATGTTATGTTTCAGCGAGATAAAAATATGGCCGACTCCGAAACATGCACTAATACGTGGTGGTCTCCAAAACGTTACTGTGGTTCTTGCCTGGTTTTCAAGGCAAGCTCTCAAAAATTTCTTCTTACACCTCTTAAAAAAGTTTAAATGTTTCGCAAAAAGCGATTTTCATTTTCGAATTCGATCACTGATTCTGTGGTAAATTTCAGAAGTTTAATTTTTGGATATCGACCAAAAATTTATAAAAGCTTCAGCACAAATATAAAAAAAAGTTGTAAGGTGAGAAAAGTAATATAAACGTTATTTTGAACGTTTTTTTTCTAAGATTCAACTCTGAAATGCAGGGTTGTTCATTTTGAGTCCGGTCCGCGTCCGTCCGCGTCCGGGACGGGACGCGTCCCGTCCGTCTCATTAGCATAAAATTTTGCGGACGGACGCGACGGAAGCATGGCGGACGGGGACGGGGAGCGTCCGCGCGTCCGAGATGCAAATTAATTCATGGTAATCTTAAAATAAAAACCAGGAAATTCGCAATAGTTTTGCAGGTTTTCTGGTGAATTTGATTTTATTGGACAGTAGGGTGCCATGTACAAGTAGACATGCTAAAAACCAGACCCTGCCAAAGGTTTTACGTCCAAAAATGAAAATCTGTGCGCTTCCTTATGATTTGAATCCGGTTTTCTCATTTGCATCGCGGACGCAGTTACTTCCGGCGTCCGCCGTCCGTCCCGTCCGTCCGGGACGCGTCCCCGTCCGTCCGCAAAAATTTATGCTAATGAGCGGACGGGGACGCGTCCGCGTCCCGGACCGTCCGCGTCCGTCCGCGAACAACCCTGCTGAAAAGGTATATGTTGCAGCTGTTCGCAAGTTTTGAATGTTTCAAAAAAAGTTAGTTTTATTTCCGAATTCGCTCGCTGATTTTGCGGTAAGTTTCAGAGGTATAGCTTTTTGAATTTCGAGCAAAAATTTATAAAAGCTTCAGCATGCATATTAACAAAGGTTTTTAAGAGCGTTTGAAAAGGCTCAACGTCATTTTTGGGTTTTTTCTATAGTAAACGTATTAAAAGGTATATTTTTCAGATTTTCGAAAGTCTCGATTTTTTAGAGTTTTAATGTTTCAAAAAAAATCCCAAAATACCCGGTTTGTCGGCCCCGGTGACGGGCTGAAAGTTGAGAGGGATGGGCTGCTGGGGGGTGGTGGCGAATTGTTGTTCCTAAGGATTGGGGGAAAATACCGTAATCCGAGCGTGATACAGTATACCCAGTCAAAATCGACGGGCTCCCCCAGCGGCAACTCGACCGAGTACTTCAGCTGCGCCATCTCGGGCGCCACCAACATCTGGCCACCCTCCGGCTCCGGGCACATCTTGTCCTGCAAAACAATCAATTTATTAATTGTTGTTTTTCTTGTTCAAAAATAATTATAAATAAATTGTGTACCATCAAGGGCAAAATAAATAACTACGTACGGCAAAATTAGGCTACGTATGATACGTCATTAGGTGCGTAATGGTCTAGGGATCACTGCACACATATCAGATTTTGAAAAATTAGCCATTTTCCCTATTAAATTTAGATTTTTGTAAAAACCTCTTTGTTAGGAATAATTAGCATAGACCGGAAGTGGGCGGGCGTCTATATAAAGAGGCAGAAGGGGTTGTTTTTCATTTTTTTTTGTCTGCTGAATGGAGAACAATTATGCAAAGGGCAGAATAGTATAGGGCCGAGACTGGGCCAGGGTTGAAAAGTACGCAAATTTCGTACATCACTAATCGGTTACCGAGAGAATAATTTTCTTTCCCCCCCACATCTTTCGAAATCATAAAAAAACCCTGGAATTTTTTGAATCTAATTTAGTAGTATTTAATCATTTGTTTTCATTAATCTGAGCAGGCAAATAAAATTGATTTTTAACGTACTAAATTAAATAGATTTGTTTATTTTGTCTTAACGTATTTCATGGAAAGGTTTTAATGTAATTTTTGTGGCAAAAATGTGTCATCAAATTCCAGGTCCCCTGTCAAATTCGAAAACCAAATAAGCACATTTTTTGGGCTTAAATATGCCCAAAATCCTGTCGTGCTGCGCTAAACCAAAAAGAAAAACGGGGGTTTAGGTGAGAAATGTTTCAAAAATTTTGGAAAGTCCACGATGTCGTCTCACAGATACTCACTCACAGACCTCCGATTAAAATGCTACTGTCAAACAGTTTGCATCAGAAAACCAAAAATTAAATTCTACGACGAAAAATGTTTCAGCAAATTTCAAATTTCGCAGAAAAATTTCGCAAATAATCATCAAAAAAAGATCGATAAAATTTACCGTAATCCGGGTAGTTTTGACGGGACGGCCCATGATCTGCTCGTAGCGGCGCGTCGGATCGTTGACGCCCATCAGGTCGATCGTCTACAACAAGATCCGGAATATCCTTTTCTAGACACAGTACCATTTCGACAAATAGCTTCTCGCCGGCGCGCTTCTCGAAGCGGCTTTTAGTCGTGATACGGTAGGGCCCAGTGATTTCGGCAATGATGGGCGGCTGAGAACCGGCCGGGGCCGAGGAGGTCGAGCTCGAGGCTGAGGTTGAGGTAGGGCGACGGCGAGGCGGTTGGTGGAGGCGCTGGCCGGAGAGCTGACAAGGCAGATTATTAAAAAAAAAATTATAAAAATTGGTATTTTTAGCAAATTTTATTGCATTCGATTTCTACTAACTCCTTAATTTTCTTCTTCTGCTTATCAACGCTGTCGTATTTTTCTTAGACCTGTTTTGATTGTCATTCGTACATTTTCTTCACATTCGGCACGTCTGATTCAATAGCAATACATTTCAAAGACCCATTATACCAAAAAACCCATCTTCCTGAGAAAAATTGATGAAACATGTTATTTCAAAGATGGTTGGTGCGTAAAAATTGAGCTCTAGGTTTCACAGAGAATTAATTATTTTACATTGTTCTAAATAATCAAGTCTTCGCAGTCCCTTTAGAAAATGAAAAAAGCCGTACAGCCTCAGTATTGGTGGGCTGCGTGATGGAGGTGTTGATCGGGCTGGAGGCTGAGGCTCCTGGGCTGGCAGCTGGGCGAGGTGACGACGCCGAAGAGCACATCCAAAAGTAAATATTTCTCGCTTCCACTTTCTCTATCTTCCTTCCTTTCTCTCTCTCTCTCTCTCTCTCTCTCTCTCTCTCTCTGTCTCTCGATTTAAACGCCCTAAAATACCTTTTGAAACATTTTTGCAGAACTAAATTGGGAAGAATGTCGGTTCCCCATTTTCGCGGAGTTGCAATTTTTTTGAAACACATTATACCGAGACAGCAGCCACGGCCGCCGCAAGAATCGGGCAGATCGGCATGTATGTGCTGGGCTGGAGGCTGGCGAGCGGGTCGTACGGCCCGAGCTGGAAGGGGCGAAATTCCAAGTTTCTAATTTTGAAGCTATAGTTATTTCTACATAGTTAGATATTTTCAGTAGCAAAAAAACTAAGCAAAATACCGTAGCCTTGATCGGCTTGAACTTCTTGCGGGAATCCTTGCTGCGGCCACGAGACTTTGACAAGTCGCGCTAAAAAAATGGGTTAGTAAAAATTCATAAGCTTGCTTACCGAATCACGGGGCGGATTCATGCTTGGATCGCGGGGACGGCTCTAAAAGTGTTGCTATAGTTATTGGTACTGGACTTTTAGCGGGGGAAGCGAGTTTTTATAGCTCCGCCTTTAAATCCAAGCTGTTGAAAATATCTAATGCATGTTTAGTGTTTTTAGCAGCAGGAGTGCTAGAAAGTTATAAAAAATCTTAAAAACGTCGGAAAATTTGCAAATTTTTACTTGTCGTTTTTTAGCATTTTAACGTTTTCTGACCATTTTATCTCGAAAGAATGTATAAAATTCGAGACCAATTGTTTATTTTTTGCTAGTTATGTACGGAATAGCTGGGTAAAGGTTCCCCGCTAAAAACGGCTTCGCGCCGACTGAAAAAACCACCTTGGATCCGCGCGGCGCGCTGCTGTTGGCGCTGCGGTTGGCGCTTCCCTATAAAGCATCATCTAGGGAATCACTAAAACCAAAATTACCTTAGATATGCGCGGGGCCGAGGCGCCGCGTGGCGCGCTGCGGCTGGCGCTGTGGCTGGAGCTGTGACTGGCGCTTCCGCGACTGCCGTGACCGCCACTTCCGCCCCGACCGCCTCCGCCACCGCCGCCATGTCCTCCACCATGTCCGCCGCCGCCACCGCCGTGACCTCCGCCGCCGCCACCGTGACCTCCGCCGCCGCCACCACCGTGACCTCCGCCACCTCCTCCGCCGCCGCCTTTTCCGGCCCTCAAACGCGTCGCCGTCTCTTCTCAAAAAGAATGTTTTAGTCTCGACTAATTAATCCGACTTCGCAAACCGTGTTTCAGGATATTTCACCTCAATTTTGGCTGGTCTGCAGATACACTTTTGTATCTCAGTTCCCCGTAGCGGCACAAGGCGGTAAGGTAAACCAAAATACTCGCCAGAGCAAGACGAACATTTTGGTATACCTTACAGCTCTCTAACATATAGGGGAACCGAAATACAAAAGTTGGAGGCCGGCTGGGCACCCAAATTTTATTAATTATCCCTGAATCTAGATGAATTCATCGCGTTCTCAGCCCAAAACGGACGTTTTTATATACTTTACAGCCCTCTAGCATAAAGGACCACCGGGATACAAAAGATAGAAAAAGTCGAAGGTCATTTACCTCGATCCATCGCTCGACAAACGACCGGTGGATTGGAGGAAAAGGGCGAAATGATACACGGAATCTTGCTGCTTATCCCCCCAAGAATGTAGTACAGGCACCGACGGATTCTAATTTTTATCTGGATTCTAAAAAGCGAAATTTTCACTTTTTTATTGTTAGGCTTACGCTGGGACGGTGTTTCAGAGAAAAACGGTTTCTGCGGCCAAAAACGCTTGATAATGACACCTCCTTTTTGCCGCCAATCGATTTCTTTTCTTGATTTTTTATTATTCACAATTTAGCGTATTTTCTTTATTGTTCATTCTTTTGAAGGCGCACGATAACACAACTTTGCGACGGTATTACGCGCGGGCGTAAATAAGTACCTTTCGTAGTGTACTGCAGCCGCTCCCGAATTTCGACTTTTAGCGAATTTTCGCCGATGGGAATTCGGAGCTCGTTGTTTTTGTTTTGCCAAAACTGAATAACGCTTTTTGCACCGCCTTCTTTTTCGCGTAATGCCTGTGATGTTTTTGTGCTCTAACGGGATTGGTTTTTAGGTCTTTTTAAAGTGTTTCCATGTGACATCGCTCGTTTGATAGAGCTTGAAATGCTCAACAAACGAACATCTAAACAACTGGGAACTGCGAACCGCGAAAAACTACCTAAAACCAATCTTGTAAGAATCAAAGCCTTGAAAATGGCTCGATCTTCATAATCAAAACTTTCCCTTCGATGAGCCTAATGCCCATTTCCCATTTCTTGTTGCTACTTTTTCTTCTTGATTCGATAATTCATATTGTTTCAGACTAGCACTAGCGCCTCGACAATGTCAGCCGTTGAAGCGGAAATCGTTAGCCCGATGGCGGATGAGATGAACACGCCCACCGCCACCGACGCGTCCACTTCGAGCACGAGTGTGCGACATGTGAGCGTTCCTTTTATCTTCGAATCGTTGCTTTTTTTTTAGTCACGACGTAGACGAAAACAGCCTATGATCGACTATGATAATCCACGATTCAAAGGGCCGGTTCCGGAGGATCTGCTAGCCTGCGGGCAGCTTCACAAACGATTAATGGCGAAAGAGGCAGAGGTATTGCCCTATTTGCTGTTCCTCAATTTTGTTTCAGCACTTCACCTTCTATTTCTACTACCCTGTCGACGTCGAGCGCTTGGGGCTTGTCGACTACTACGACATCGTCACACAGCCCATCGATCTGAGCACGATTCGAAAGAAGCTCGATTACAGGTAAAACTCGATACTTTTTGGGTTTTCTAGCAAAACTGTTTAGAACATTTTATTAATATTTAGCCTTGAAGCGGAATGCCTATTTAGAACATTTGGAAGAGTACTTGAAAATGTCGAATTTTGGTAAAAAAACTATGTTCTGGGAATTTGCCGTCCAAATTTTGCGGTCCTTACGCTGAGGAATAGATATAAAAACTATCTGAAAGCTCCTCATTTAACCAGATTGGTAAGACTTGGATCCTTTATAGTTTTCTGGATACCTAGCAATGTCATACCTTAGCCTTCCAGCGGAAAAACTTATTCTAAAACTCAAAAAGTGCTTGAAAATGTCAACTTTTGGTCAAAAATCGATGTTCTTGGAGCTTGCAATCATAATTGTGACGTTTTTACGCGTAGGAATCGATAAAAACTAGTGAAAGAACCGGAATTCCCGTCACGTGTGATATTTTTATTTTAGACAGTACGTGAACGCCGACGAATTTATGGCCGACCTTCAATTGATGCTGGACAACTGCTTCAAGTACAACCCGCCCTTCGATATGGTCCACCAGGCCGGACGACAACTGGAAAAGTTCATCAAAGAACAATGGGCTCAAATTTATTCGGCAAAGGTTACTTTTTTCATCTTACTTTTCATTAATTTGTTATTTTAGCCTCCCAATAACAACAATAACAAGGCAACTTCTTCCGGGACGAGCCGAGCCGAAGCGATCGATGACTACAGGAAGCAAATGGAAGTGTGGGAGAAGCGTCGCAAGGATTGGCTGCAGAGATCGGCGGCGCTTCGCCGGGAGCTGATGGCGCTAGCGCCGGGCGCCTTGGTGCCGAAAGCCTTGGAGAAGAAGATCGATCAATTGATCGCTGAAGACGCCGAGCACCCGGAGCCCAAGAAGGTCAAGCTGAAGAAGCAGGACAAGCCGCGCGCCGCCTACCGACTTGGCAACAAGGGCCCGGCGCTAACGATGGAGGAACAGCAGGAGCTGAGGGAGGCGGTTCCACGACTCACGCCACGTGAAATGCACCATTTTGCTGAACTCGTCGACGCGCTGGAGGGCTCGGTAAGGGTTTAGCTTCATTGGATTTTTTGTAGTTTTCTTTTCTTAGGACCCAATTTTTAAAATCTAAAAAGCGAAAATATTTTTAGAATCTGTTTTACTATTCCTAAGCGTAAAAACTACGGAATTGTTCGTAAAACTTTCAAAGATATTGATTTGTCGACGAAAAATGGCCGATTTTTACCAAAATTTCTACTTTTTTTTTTGGATAGGTTTTCTATTGGGATGTAGTCTTTTTTACTAAAAATTAATCGAATCGAATCCCTACCCTTTTTTAGAACATTGCTGAAAAGACGAGGGAAGTCGCACTGGATACGTCATCATTGAAGCCCAGCACGGTGCGCGAGCTGCTTCGTCATGTCAGACGCGTCGCCTCGGAAAAATCTCGTGCTCCTCGCCAACAATCCTCCCCCGGTTGGGAGTGCTCGACAAGCCACATGCCCGATCTTTCCGAGTCTTCCTCCGAAGACGACGATTCATTTGATCGGCTAACTGAGCGTTGAAGCCTAATGCTGTATCGCCACCCGCTAAATGTTCATTTACCCTCTCGTTGCCTTTCATCAGATTTAGTTACCGGTGACAAAACATTTTCGAAATTTTTAATTGATTAACAACAATTTTAAATAAACTTTCACGCATATCGTCGCGAACTGACACTGTGGGACATTGAAACAAACTTTATCAACGCAAAATAAGAAAATGCTCTAACAACAAATGATTAAGCGGCGATACCCGTGCGATGCGTTCGATTTCCAATCTATTCGTCGTCGTCGTCGCTGTCCTGCACCACCAGTTTCTTCGGTTTCTCCCGAATGCGACGCGATTCCTAAACAGCATTGTAGCCGAACTCAAGAACACATGCTGCTTTGTTAATATCAGCGGGGCCTTGCTTACATCGATAAGCAAATGCAATGACAAGTGTTTTGTGGTGTTTTTGATAAAACCACGCGGAAAACCGTTTAGAAAACCTAGCAAATTTCTACAAAGATTCTTTCCCATTATGGCGGGGAAGCCGAACTTTTTTGTATAAGTCTAGAAATGCCTAGTAACCTAATAGGAGTTTCAATAGTGTTTTTAGTCAAATATAACGGTATTTGAGCTAAAAAAACTATCTAAAAGCGTTAAATTCTTTCAAAAAGTCGACATTTTGGTCGAAAAACGATATTTTTGATAAATTTTAATAAATATGCGTAAAGTTTACGTCCATGACTATTTTCTCCCCGATCTTGCGAAAGAACCGAAAAAGTACCTCATCAGAGTCCGATGATTCGAGGAAACGGCTGGGCCCTCCTTGCTCGTTGTCACTCGGCACCGTGCCAGCAGTCGATGCCCAGGAGCGGCGCGTCAGCCCCTCGTCGGAGTCTTGGTCTGCAAGAAGACTGAATAAATTTCCGATAAGGTACCGTAGTCATCAATTTCGTAATGGTATGCCCGGTATTCGCGATCACGGCCGCCGCGTGCATGTGTGATATGTTGGGCCTTGATGGCTTGCCGCAGTTTTCGCTGCTCTTCGCGCACGACTTCCTGAAAAGAATAGATGAGGAAAAGCTAGGTAATAACCTGCCTCTCTTCCCACTTCGGGATTCATTTCATTGTTGGTGATCACTCGGATGCCTGCACTGCGTGGGACTCTTGGCGTTGCAGCCCGTGTAATCTAAAAAAAAATTGTGGTTCTTTCACGTTATGGGGGGGGGGTGCGTTCTGATTTTATCTCTGTAAAGTCAAATAAGCTTAGTAATATGATAGAAAATATTTAACCACTCTCTAACACATCATTTTACTAGAGTAGCCAAAAACTGTTCAAAAAAACTACGAAAAAACTCTGACGATTTGAAATTTTGCTCACAATCCGTATTTTTCTTATTTTGAGCACCTATTTGTAAAGTCTTTACGTCTAGAAATAATGAAAAAAACAGAAGAAACATTTTAACTATCGCAATTTGAAAAATTGGGCAACGAAAGCTCGCTCGATATAGCAAAAGAATAGAAAAAACGCTATTAGTAAGTCGCAACTCCTACCGCGTTCTGTATATTCGAATTGGAGTGCGGGCGGAAGACGACTCGTTCCGGAAGCAATCCCTGGGCGACCATGGCCGGGCCTTGCCTCGAGAAAACGTGACAGTCCCTTGCCTCGGCCAAGCCAAAATCGTAGTATTCGTCGCCGATGCGCAGCGACATCCTAAAAACAAGTTTTGATTAACTGCAAGTATCATACGTTCCATCCGACCACTTGACAACACTGGCATTGCTCTCTCTACGCTCGGTGCCGTCCCTGTCGACGACGGTGCGCCAACGTACCACGTTTGTGTCCTGGAAAACAACGTTAGAAAAAGTTCGTAGAAACGGTTAGAATTCAAAATATAGAGCGTTAGCCGTGCTTCCTAACCTTTAGTTTAGTTTTTATAATCTTCGAGTTTTTCTCTTTCAAACGGGTAATTAGTAAGGTATTGCCCGGGTGGCAAACCAAAATATGCTAAGTAAAAGTAAAAGACATCAGAGTATACTTGTCAAGTCCAATTAGTTATTTTAAAACATAAGTTTTCGTGTATTTTTCACATTTAGAACTTGTCTAATTCCCCGATAACCATTTACCTTTTGCGTTGGGTAAAGATGAGCCTGGCCATGCGGATCGTCATCTTCAGCGTAATTTTCGCTGTCAAACTGCTGGTGGGCCAGCGACACGGATTTCGGCAGCTTCAACATGACCACCTAAGAAGGGTTAATTAAGGAGAGCAGTAAAACGCAACCTGATCGCCCAGTTCCAAGTGTTTTGCGCTTGTCACGGCTTCGATTATGGATCCTGGCTCTTCATCCGTTTCCGGAGAAGACGGAGGTGATCGGGGCGAGATTGAGCGACTCACTTCACGGCTGAATTCGCGGCTGCCTAAAAACGAGTAAGATAAATAGCAAAGGTGGTTTATTCGGCTCCCCTTTGTGCTAAAAAGCTGCAAAGTATGTCAAAATGCTAGCCTTGATTTAATTGAGTAAACATAGCGGAAAATAAAGCTAGTAAACTAATTTCGACGTGTCTGAGGGGCTAGGAAAACTAGAATTTAGCTAAAAACGCTAGTAAAAGATAAATAGCTTACCGGATGCTAGGCTCTCGTCATTTCTGGGCGAACGCGGAGGTGATGATGGTGGTGACTCGTTCGGGGGCGTCTCCGGGAAGTCGTCAAACGTCGGGAAGGCGCTCAGCAGATTATTGTTGTTGTTCGGGTCTGCGCTGGACATCTGAAAAAGTCAAATGGACGCAAAAAGAAGTTAAATGAAATACCTAAAGTAAACAGCGAGAAAAGTAGTAAAATACGTACTAACGATTTGTTACTAACGAATAGAATTGCAGCTGTGAAACAAAACTGAAAAAGTTGCAATTGCAAAAATATGACTTGCGAAAAAGCAGATGAACCATCTTTGGAAGTATGCCCGAGGTCCCGCAACGCTTTTATTCTTTTGATTACTTTTACTACAATACTACCATCGAAAATACCCAAGTTTCAACGTTCATCCAAGGAAATGGGCTGAAAAATGCAGGGGGATGAGTTGAGAAGGTTTGAATGGAGGTCGTTGTACATAAAAAAGACTGAAATTTTGAGATGCATTGCTTTTCTCCACATCGGCGAAGCACGCGGGCGAGGGTTTTCACTTTGTTGCAGAAAAAATTAATTGGAAACAACTGTTTTTGTTTCCATGCTTTTTGGAAGAACCCCGTACGAATTTTTTTTTACCTTTTTTGCTACAAAGCCTTTTTAGCTGCTTTGCCGAGCTTTAGTCTAAACGATATAAAGAGAAAGACGTTGATCATTTAGCCGTTTTTAAAAGTGGGATTTGTTTTAAAAACCTTTCGACGTTCTTAGAAACCTAACTTAACCGTCATCATTACCAATACTTTCCTTCTTTTATTCGGAATCACCTTCATTGGCTTTCTCTTTTGCCTTTGTTTTCATACCCTATTCCCTCACTTTTAGGAGTTGGTCTTTGAAACCTTGATTTGAAGAATTGTTATTATTATTAAATGTGCCATTTGACAGGAACTGGACTATTACCCAAATTTTTTTCCGGATCCGCCGAACGCAACGTAAACGCTCGCCCTTAGATTGAATAAAATTTTGCTGCTAAATCAAAGAAATTTCCCCAGTAAATGTACAAGAAGTATCACAATGCAATTCAAAAAAGTTTTATGCCCGCAAGACATTTATTTTTGGAACATCTTTTTTTTAATTTTTGCAAAACAATTTTGCTTTTAGTCCCTCATAACGACCCATTGAGCTTGTTTCCATAATTTGTAGCGTTGTGATGGGCTGACGCGGGGCTTGTTCTACGCGATCAGCACATCGTGCTAATTCCGGCAATCCCCAAGCCGAGATAGATAATTCTCCGTGATAAGACTCCGGAAAATGAGCAATTCGTCGTTGGCTTTTCACTGCTTCTCTCTCACTCTGTCTCTCACTTTCTCGCTCGCTCTCCCTCCCTCTCTCTCTCGCCATGACCAGCAAGCTTGATCAACTGATAACCCGGAAAAAAACAGGTGTAGAACTTGAGGGTTTCACTGAAAAATAGGAACCAAAGAGGGTTTGCCCGTTCAATGTGAAGCACACATTTTGCGGAGCTTAATAATAACAACAGCCTTAATCAGGATAAAGATGATATTATCAATTAAAAATGTTTAAAGGCTACAAAAAGCGCTTCTAAGGGCATATTCAAGTAAGGAAACCCAACTACTTTTTAATAAAAAGAAATGAAAATCGGCGAACCTACCGGGCAATTGAAACATCAGAGTATGAGGAAATTAGGTTTGAAGTATTGATTAATTGCCGTTTTTGATAATTTTAGAGTAAAGAACAGCTTCGATATTTGTATTTTAATACAATTTGTCTAGAAGAATGTATCTTGCAAGTGCAAGTTTAAAAGAAAACAAGCTATCGTTCGTAATTTTCCTAAAAATTCTAGTTTAAGAACTAAAATAGCTTTATTTGGGTCACACTGAGGATTTAAATTTAAACAATGCAATGTTATACTGGTGTCTTCGATTGGAAAAAGGTGTGTTATGTCATCCGTTATTACAGGTCCGTTAGTTGCGCGAATATTGCATCTTTGCTTCAGTATCCTTATTTTCGTGAAAAGAAAAGATAGACTTTAATAAATAATTACTGATAATTGATTTAATATTATTTTATTGGGATTTAAACCATACCCTCCAAAATTTGCGCAAAGCCCCGCGGTTCCAGCCTTTAGCAAGCTAAAAGTAGCCAGCCCCCAAAAAAAACACACAAAATTCTGAAGAATTTTTATGTTTCAGCAAGGCGGCAAGGTAGCTTTCAGCGCTATGAAGTAATGTGGCCGTGGACTTCGTGAAATTCTCTATTCCACTCCTCCTCTAAAAATGATGTTACGTCCCTCACACATCTAAAATTCGGGTTTACGCCGACAATTCTTCGGTTGTTTTTGCCTCACGAAAATGGCCGTGACGACACGGGTCCAATTTTGGCCTTGATCTTTCGGGTTTTTATGCAATCAGGCGGGTCATTGTTCCGTTAGTGCATTGTACTAACAACCAAAAATGACGCTCCAAAAAACTCAAAAGAAATTTATATATAAAAATTTGGAGGTATTACAAATCTTTTTTAAAGGTATAAAAAGTCGTTCCATAAATGGCTCGAATTAAGGAAGAATGTTGCATTTATTTTCAACATTCTAGGATTTCCTTTACGATATTATTTTCTTGAAATGTGGGAATTGTTGGTTTAAAACCGGTGTTACATATGATTCCAAGCTTCGTTAATTTCTTGGCCGTGTCAATATGTCGACGAAATGTTTTACAGGGTGTCCCAATAAAAAAGGTCACGCTGGCATTTTGGTATTTCAAATCCCATCGACTTGAAATTTTGCACAGTGGTGCTGAAGGGAATTCAAAATGTTCACAGAAACTTTCAGCCAGAACGGTACAGTAGTTTTCGAGTTATAGCAAAAATAAACTTTATTTTACGTTGTTAACCTGGATTTCGCCGGAATTGAGCCCTGGAATGTATCGAGAAAATGAAGCGCCGACCCTTTTTTATCCTAGGAATTTTTTAATTCGCAAAATTCGGGCCGAAAATAGGCTATTTAAGTATTTTTTTAACAAGGGCTAACGACGCCGATGTTAAGAGAATAAGGGATTTAGAGCCGGAAATTTATGTTAATTGATGCAAAGTCCAAAAAGATAGCCGAAAAAAATGCAGCTAAAGTGTGGGAAAAACAGTATTTTTACAATAACTCGAAAACTACTGTACCGATCGGGCTGAAAGTTTCTGTGAACATTTTAAATTACCTTCCGCACCTCTGGGCAAAATTTCAAGTCGGTCAGAATTGAAATAGCAAAATGCCAGCGTGACCTTTTTTATTGGGACACCCTGTATATTCTAGATGCTAGAATTGAAATCCATTAAAATTAAATTTAGATTAAATCTACATATAACATTATTTACCCTCCCCCAAATTTCGCCCTAAAATAATATGTTTTTCGGATTAGTGTAATTCCCAGCAGCATGGGCCAGACATGTCACGCGCGCCATTTCGCACCATATTTTGCTCTTGATTTTCAGGAAGGGCGTCGAAATTCCGGGGGTGTACGCAACGACGGCAGGAGTCACGTGCCGGAAGCCCTCACCGGAAGGAAGAAAGAGTCAGAGAGAGCGAGAGAGAGAGAGAACAGGAAGCACGCGGTAGGAGTGTTATTGTTTGTAGCCTGACCGGGGCAGCGGATTAAAAGGGGGAAAGATCAAATATGAAAGAGATCAAATATGAAAGAGACTGGATTAGGTTTACGGTAGTGGCGTAGATACTGTAAGGTGTAGTTTAACGTACCTTGATTTGGCCCGCGTATAGCGTAGTTTGAAATGTAGCATACTGTAGCGTAGTTAGTAGTTCCGCCATTTTTTGTATAGTTTGTACTCTAGAGCAGCTCATTGTACGGTATTACCTCTATCATAATTTGTAAATTGTTGTATTTTAGTCTATTTTGATTTCCGCTGTGCCGTCTCTTCTACCGTATCCTAACGTATTCGGCCACTGTAACTTGTGTTACTGTAGTGGCATTGGAGCGGAGCGCAATTGACGGAACTCGGTACTAGACTGTTAGCGGGGGGATTATTTTTATTTTGCCGCCTTTATCCAATTGTTAATAAACTGCAGTTTATTTTTACAGTAGTTTTAATGGTCTTTTATTGCTGGGCAGCAAGAAAAATATTTTTTCACAAATTTTAAAATTTTCATAATTTTTACCTATTATGTCATTTTCCATGCTATTTGACCAGTCAAAAATTTTCAAAAATTTGTATAAATTTTTAAGTTGTTATTAGATTTAAATAAAAATATTTTAGCCGGGACTCAGGTATTAAAATACGGGTTCTATTGAAGGATACTATACAAAAAGCGTAAACCCTGCCAAGAATCGATGTTTCATCCTCAAGAAATTTTAAATAAATCTTCTCCTAATATTAAATAGCCCCGTTTTAGAGTTGCAAAAATTTCGAATCACCAAGGCATTCGAGGTATTTTTACCAAGTCCCCACCATGAATCACATTTTTCTATTTGCGATGACGGGCCGTTGGCTCACGTGCTTCCGCTTACCGATACGATACGCAAGCAGATGCGATTAGCGGGCCAGCGTAAGTGGTTCAGGGTGGAATGGAATGTACTATCTTGATAATCTCTCTCTCTCTCTCTCTCTCTCTCTCTCTCTCTCTCTGTCTCTCTCGCTCTCTCCCTCCAGGCTGCGTGGGCGGAAGAGGAGATACATACATTTTTCATAGGGCAAAAATTCTTTGCACATGCAAGCTACCAAAAATGCCTGTGGATTGCCCAAAAACCACATCCTATTTTATCATCACAGGACAGCAAAAAATTTTGGATAAGCGTTGACAAATCAACATTACGATCTGAAAAAATGAAGTCACTCTGTCAATTTTTGAAACGTTGATTTTTATTTTTTTTGAAACGTAGTTCAAGGTTTATTTTTGTGTATTTATCGTGGAAATAACTTTCTCATGGTTCCGCACACATACGCGCTTCGAATAATTTTTGCATCGGTTCCAAATTTCGCAACTTTCCTTGTGCTAACCACTCGTTGCGTTGTTTATTTGTTTCTCTGGGGTTCAAGCCCTACCTGCTTGTCCGCTTCCAATTTCATTAATATGCCCTGGGGGCAGGCGAGAGAGAGAGAGAGAGAGAGAGAGGGAGGGAGAGAGAGACA